TCTGGGAACAGGCTCCGTTTTATCTGTAGAGAGGAGGCAAGTTCTCAGCTGAGAGGAACCATAGGAGGCTTGAGGAGGGATGAGGTTTGAGAAAAAACGCTGTGGTGAGTGATAGCGACTTGATTAAGGAGCTCTACAGGGATTGCCATGTTACAGCGAGGGCCCAGTTGAAATTAAGTAACAGAAATTTGCAGTCGGCTCAGGTAGAAGGGTTTCATAGTTTTCACCAGCTTTGTTCAGCAGCACACGAGGAACATGGGAGGGAGTGGGGAGTGAGGAGGGGGAGTGATCCAAGGCTGAAGCTGAGCAGGGCAAGATTGGCCATAGGATAAGGAGGCCAGGGGCTTCCAGACAAGAGCTGTCAAACTCAAGGCCTGCAGGCGGCCCAGTCAGATTAAAATGTCTTTGGGAAAGGTTTAACAAAATAAATAAAAACACAATATGATATAGCTCTTGTTAATTTGTGGCTTTCTAAGTCAACGTGCAGCGTTTGAGTCTGACACCACCGTTGTAAATTATGCCCTCAAAACCATTGAACCTTGCAGACCCTTTGACCAGGCAACAGTAGGTCTGTATTGGAGAAGGAGGAAGAGGACAGAAATATTTCTAGCAGCTCTTTTTTGTGGTGGCCAAGAATTGGAAATTAAGGGGGTGCCCATCCATTGGGGAATGGCTGAACAAGTTGTGGGATATGAATGTAATGGAATACTATTGTGCTCTAAGAAATGATGAGCTGGATGGTTTCAGAAAAACTTAGGAAGACATATGATCTCATGCAAAGTGAAATGAGTAGAAGCAGGAGAACCGTTTATCCAATAACAATAAAAGCAGAAATTCAAACAACTCTGAAAGACTTAGGAACTCTGATCCACACAGTGGTACCCGAGGATTGATGACGAGACAGGCTCCTCACCTCCTGATAGAGAAGTGATGGACTCAGGGTATAGACTGAAGCATGTGCTATTTTGGACATGGCTAATGTGGGAATTGGTTTGCTTGGTTGTACGTTTCTGACTATAAATACTGGCTTTTCTTACTTTGTCAATCAGTAGGAGAAGGGAAGCTGGGAGGGAGAGAATTTGGAACTAAAAATACAATTGGAAAAAAAAAGAAGAAGACTGTAGATTTCAATGGATTCACCAAGGTATCATGAAGGGGAAGAAAGGAGAGTGGAGGCAATGTAGGGGTGAAGGTCTGGGTAGAAACTGAGGGCTGGAGGGTCATGGTGAGGATGAAGAGCTGGGCTAGGGGTTACAAGGCACAGGGAGAAGTGGAATGCCGACAGATTTTGATCAGATGAAGGAATTTCCAAGCTCATGATTATGGAAGTGGTACATTTGTGGGTGATGGTAAGGTCAAAGGTATGGCCATCTCTGAGTATAGCTGAGGTGGGGTGGGGGGAAAATTGAGGAAGTAGGAAGTTAGAGAGTTGGAGGTCAGTCAGTCAGTCAACAAGCATTTATTAAGGTCATTGCTATGTGCCTAGCAGTCTAATGGGGGAGACAGAATGCAAACAACTATGTACAGACCGAGATGGATACAGGCTATATGGGAGTTAATCTCAGAGGGAAGGCACTAATACTAAGGAGGATGGACTGGGGAAGGTTTCTTGTGGAAGGAGGGACTTTACAGAAGCCAAGAAAGTTAAGGAAGAGATGAGGAGGCATTGGGAACAGCCAGGGAAGATTCTTGTAGTTGGGAGATGGAGTATAGTATTCCAGGATCAGCAAGGGGTGATCTGGTCAGATATTTGGCAACCCAGCAGAGGCTGGACTGGAATGGGGAGAGGCTTGAGGCAGGCAGACCCCCAGCAGCCACGGCAGGTAGGACCCAGAAGTCATGGCAGGCAGACCCCCAGCAGCCGTGGCAGGCAGGCCCCTAGCAGCCGTGGCAGGCAGGCCCCCAGCAGCCGTGGCAGGCAGACCCCCAGCAGCCACGGCAGGTAGGACCCAGCAGCCGTGGCAGGCAGCCCCCCAGCAGCCTTGGCAGGCAGATCCTCCAAAAGCCATGGCAATCATCCAAGCGGGAGGTGAGGAGGGCCTGGACCATGGTGGTGGTAGTGTCAGGGGAGAGAAGGGGGCTCGAAGAGGGATCATTTGGAGAAATACCAATATGTATGCTAATGTTCCTTAATAGGAGGGCAGGAGTTGGGGAAGAGAGAAAGACTGTGAGCGAGGCACTGAATTCATTGAGGAAGGAAAGAGTGTGTCCTGGGAGTTTGGAGAAAACAGCTAGCAGAAGCTTGATTGTGTGATTAATATGGATTGAATGAACCTCAAATGAGCCAGCATGTAAATTGTGTAAACAGAGCTGTTGAGGCCATGGGAGTGAATGAGGTTGTCAAAGGAGAGGGGACAGAGGGGCCATGGATGGATCCTTGGGAAACCCTTGAAATATGGTTCTGGTCTAGTGAACTCTCATAGGGAGCTTGCCAGGGTTCTGTGTGTGTGTTGGGGGGGTAGGTATGCTTGTATATTCCTTCTTGTGTCTGTGTTTCTGGGGGTGACTGCTTAGCTCCACTGTGAGGGGTAGGTGGGGCATTCTGACTGGTCTGGGGAGTGAGAGTTGCCTCTGACTCGGAATAAGGTCTGTAAAATGGGACTGAGAATTCCCTCAGGGTCTTAAAGGGAATAGAGAAGACTAAATCAGAATTCTGGTGTCATCTAATTTGGTTTTACCACAACCTGGAGAGGAGAGGAAGAGGCTAAGTCACTTATCCTCTCTGGGTCTCAGTTTCCCTATATATAAAATGGAATCAGACTAACCAGCTGATCCCCTTCCAGTGCTGACATCTTGGGATTCTAACATTGGGCCTTCCTTGGGCCAAGAGGTACCAGAACTGTTCATCTAAATCATCGAAAAGAAGCTCTAAGCCGCTCCCCTGGCCCACAGATTGCCCAGTAGGAAGGGTAGGAATAATGGGTATATTACAACCCACCTCTGCCAGGCAATCCTGGGCTGAACTACCTGCTGGGACAGGATCCTAGGCCTCTAAAGGGGGCCCTTGGAGGCCACCTGGTCCAACCCCATTATTTTACAGAGGAGGAAACTGAGGCCCAGGGAAGGGAGGAGACTTGTCCAAAGTGGCACACAGGATCCTAGATCTGAAGCTGGAAGGGGCCTTGGAGGTCACCTAATCCAACTTTCTCTTTTTACAGAGGAGGAAACTCAGGCCCAGGGAGGGGAAAGGACTTATCCAGGGTCACACAGAGAGCATTAGTGCTATATAGCTCATCATCCTCATTATTGGACTGATAGTGGTTAGAAGCGTCCTTCATCTAAAAGTGGAATGGGCTGCCTTGGAAGGTAGTGAGTTCCCTGTGACTAGAGGTCTAATAGCAAGGTGGTGAGATGTTGTAGAGGGAACCCTGTTCAGGTACAAGTTGGATTAGTTCCTACTTGAAATTCTATGATTCCTTGAGATTAGTTTCTCCTTTTGCAGAGGGGTAGTCTGAGGCCCGCAATGGCAAACAGCAGCGCTCCTGCCCTCTGAGAAGGGAGAACAGGAAAGGCAGGCAGGCACAGTGCTCCTAGGGGGTTTGGACAACCCAGAAGTAGGGAGGCAAATCCCCACTTGGTCCTTCTGTCTTAGTGTCGAGACAGCTCAGTAGGGCCATGACTAGAATGCTGGGCCCTGGAGTCAGGAAGACCCGAGTGCAAGAGCAGCCTCAGACACTTTCTAGCTGCGTGCCCCTGGGCAAGTCACTTCACCTCTGTCTGCCTCAGTTTCCTCAACTATCAAACAGAGATCACTTGCTGCTCAGGGTTATTATGAGGATCAAATGAGAACAGATTTGTAAAGCCCATAGTAGGTGCTTTCTCCCTTCCATACACAGAGCTTATGTGTTTCTAATTGTTCTCCATATTGTGTCCCAGCTACTTGCAGGCAGGGCCAAAGTTTCTGTCTTTCTTGGGCCTCTTCTAAGCACTTAGCCCAGTAACTGGCCCACAGGAAGTGGTCAGTACATGGCATTTGACTATACCATGTTCCTTCTCACATGATGTAATAGGGGAGAATGTTCTCTGCTCCCTCCCATCCTCCATAAAAGCATCAAAATGCTTTTCACTCTTCTGTTTATTCATTAACAACATAGAAAAATAAAGGATTAATGAACTGAATATACAATTAAAAATTCTATCAATTGCCAGGTGTGGTGGCAGCTGCCTGTAATCTCAGTCATTGGAGAAGCAGGGGCTGATGAAGATTGGGTGTCTCTTCCTGTTAGCTTCCCTCTCTTCACCGCTGGCTCCCCTGGGGTACTTCTCAGCCCCATTCTCCAGGCCCCAGACTGAGGCAGAGACAGAGTCAGACTCTTACTCCCCCCTTTTCATTTAAGAGTCCTGGTGAAGGTCGAGCCTCCTAATCTTTGTGAATTCCATAAATCCATTTGCATCCTCCAAATTAACCCACTCTTCCGTGAGTTTCTGGCCTCTCATTAGGGTGAGCTGAGTGGTGGGCAGTTACGTGGTCATAAGAGGCTGGTTGTCTTAGTGGACCACAAGCCAAATCTGCGTCAAGAAGGTGAGAAAGATGCTGGAACAAGAGGCTGGCAATCTAGCATCTTGTGATGGTTCATTTTTGTCTTTGTCCTGTCGCCTAGCGGAGATCCCTCCCCCTGCTGTACCACACAGAGAGACAGGTTGGAATTGGCACTACCCAGAGGTGCCCAATCCTTGGTTCTAAGTGGCACACACACATGGTGTTCCCTAAGTCTTTTTTTATTTATTTTTTTTGTTCCCTAAATCTTAGTGCAGTTCTCAGGCTATTTCAAGCTATTTTTACTTTTTTCCTCTATAAAATGAGGGAGGTTGGACCAGCACATCTTAAAGGTATGGAGCAGTGCATCTCGGGAGAGGCTGGTCCATGGCCTTGCTGTCCTTCCATCTGTCTTGTCTTTACTTTTCCTTCCATAGCCCTGGGCCAAGGCCCCTGCCTCATCCCTCCTCGGCAGCCTCTCTGGCTACATAGACTCAAGGCTTCTTTGGTGTCTCTCTTGCAGGGCAGAAGCTGCCCCTGCGTGTGCCTGCCAGATCTATGCAGGCCATGGGCCTCTGGTGGCTTCTGGGGGCCCTCCTCTCCATGCTGGCTCTGTGGCCTTATCCGGCTCAGGGGGCCACCCGGGTCTACTACCTGGCCATCCGAGAAGTCCAATGGAACTACTTGCCAAAGGGGAGAAACATCATCACGGGCAAGTCAGTGGAAGATGACAAGTAGGTTCTACCTTGCGTAGGATTGGGGAAGGGCATGTAACAGGGGGTAAAGAGCCCTAGATGTCCTGGCCTCTGCTATGGGTCATGGAGTAGCCTCCTAGGAAAAGGGGACTTAAGAACTTGAAGACCTTAGATATATTCTATATAGCCCCCTCATTTTACAAATGAGGAGACTGAGTCTTAGAGAGAAGTGACTTACCTACCCAACCAAGGTAAGTCTTAGTGAATAGCAGAATTAAGATTTATAATGAAGGCCCTTGACTCCAAATTAGTATTCTAGTATCCCACAATCCCTCTTTAGGACTCTAGTATGGCAACACTAATTCCTATGTCTAGGGAACATTAAGGTTTACAAAGGGGCAGGTAGGTGGCACAGTGGATAGTATGCTGGCCTGGAATCAGGAAGACCAGAGTTTGAATCCGGCCTCAGGCACTTACTAGTTGTGTGACCCTGGGCAAGTCTCTTCACCCTGTTTGCCTCAATTTCCTCATCTGTAAAATGAGCTGGAGAAGTAAATGGCAAACTACTTCAATATCTCTGCCAAGAAAACCCCAAATGGGGTCACGGAGAGTTGAGCACAACTGAAATGACTAAATATCAACAGGGTTTGCAAAGCGCTTTCCTCAAGCCAACCCTGGGGGGTAAGGCATTATGAATATCATGATCTCCACTTTACAGATGGGAAAACTGAGGTGTAGAGAGGTGAAGGGACTGGACCAAGGTCACATAGCTAGTAAGTGCAAGAGTCTTCTGACACTAAGCCCTGGGTAATCACAGGTGCTCACTTTTCTTTAGCACTTTACAATCTAGAGCATGGTTTCTGTACAACAGCCCCAAGAGGTATATGGTGCAGATGCTATTGTGCCCATTTTACAGATGGGGAGCCTGAAGCTCAGAGAAGTGTCTTGACCAAGTTCACAGCCCGACTTCAGATTCCCAGAGCTCTAACCCCTAACCCAGCCTATCTTTTCCCCATAAAGACTCACTTTGGAACTCTAGAGCCTCCAAGTTTGGGGCCAACTTTCCAAAGCCGACCTCAGTTAGGCAACTTCCCATAAACCTGTTGTAACTCAACTTTTCCAGCAAAGACCATCTTCCCCTTCAGCCCAGGTTTGGAAGCTCAGACTCTTTGGATTAGAACAGGTCTTGAAAGGCCACCTCAGCCTCTTCCCTGCCTCAGACCACACTAGTGGCCAGCTTGGTATAGCAGTCGAGTGCTGCCAGTGAAGGCAGAAGACCTGAGTTCAAATCCCCGCTCTCTTGTGTATTAAGTATGTGACTCTGGGCAAGTCACTTCCTTTCCCCTGGGGCTTCAGTTTCCTCCTTTGTAAAACAAAGAGCTTGGACTACCTGGTCTCTGAGGTCCCTTCCAGTTCGAGATCTAAGATCTTGTGTGTGACCTTGGACTAGTCACTTCCTCTCCCTGGCCCTGAGTTTACTCCTTTGTGAAAAGAGAGGGTTGAACTAGGTCACCTCCAAGGCCCCTTCCAGCTCCAGATCTAGGATCCTGTGTGCCATTTTGGAGGGGGTTAGACTAGCTGTTCCTTTTGGTTCTATGCTCCTAAGACTCAGTCTACTTACTCTTGAATGGGGATAATGATGAACGTACTGTCTACCTCCCCAGTTATTGTGAGAATAGTTATTTGCTAACCTTAGGTACTAGAGCAGGGATTCTTGACCTGGCGTCTATGGATAGATTTCAGGGGCTTGGAGAACACAGATGGAAGAAAAGGGCCAGCTTTGTTTTCCCTAATCTTTTGTTTCTTTTGTGAACTGATATATTTTCTTTTTTTGTATTTAAAAAATGCTCCTGAGAAGGCGTCCATAGACTGCCCTGGCTTCACTGGCCGAGGAGTCCAGGAAGCCCTCTGCACTCAGGAAGGGGGAGCTGTTATTACTCTTCTGCTTCTCTCTCTCCCCCTAGGGTGGCTGCTGGTTTCATGGAACCTGGCAAGGACCGAATAGGGAGTATCTACCATAAGACTGTCTATAAGGAATACTATGATAGCTCCTATATGACAGAGGTGCCCCAGCCGGCCTGGTTGGGCTTCCTGGGCCCCGTTCTATGGGGTGAAGTGGGGGACATCATCCTGGTTCACCTAAAGAACTTTGCCACACGCCCCTACACGATTCACCCCCATGGCGTCTTCTACGAGAAAGACTCTGAAGGTCAGCTGGCATTCCCTCTCCTCCTCAGGCCGGGCCCCTTTACCTGATCTGAAGGAGTTTGGAGGGGCCTCTGGGGAGCCCTTCCAGGCCAGTAGTCCGGAGACCCAAACTCAAGGCCTGGCTCTGCTGCCCAAATGGGCACTTCCTTGACCTCTCTGAGCTTCAGTGGCCCCCTCTGTAAAATAAGGCTAATGATCATGTTTGGTTTATATCGAGGATCAAACGTGTGGTTTGTGAGAGAGTGCTCAGAAAATCTGGAAGTGCTGTTCACAGAGTTTGAAAGCTAAAGGGCAATTTAGAGTGCCAGCATGTTTATTTTACAGAAAAAGAAACTGAGGCCCAGTGTGGACTGTAGTAGCAGAGCTGAGTGTTGAGCCCAGATCTGCTGACTCCCCATTCATGTTACACCTTGATATGACCCCAGGGAGCAGGCCCTGAGAAAGGGAAGGGACTCAGACCCAGGCCAGTGCTGATACCATCTCAGAGGGATGGCGATGAGTCTGGCACCAGGGTTTCAAACTGTCATCTTGCAGTGATCCTAGGATTTAGTGCTAGAAGAGACTTTCTGTATGCCTCATCTGGGCCAGCTCCATCATTTTATCAATGAGAAACCAGAGAGGGAGAGAGACAGAGAGAGGGAGGGGGACAGAGAGGGAGGGGGCAGAGAGAGAGGGATGGAGACAGAGGGAAAGAAACAGAGAGGGATGTAGACAGAGGGAGGGAGAGAGACAGAAAGGGGACAGAGAGAGGGAGGGGGACAGAGGGAGGGGGCAGAAAGAGAGGGAGGGAGACAGAGAGGGAGGGGGCAGAGAGAGGGATGGAGACAAGGGAGACAGAGAGAGGGATGGAAACAGGGAGGGAGGGGGGGACAAAGAGAGGGAGGGGGGCGGGAGGGAGGGGGGAGAGGGAGGGAGGGAGGGGGCAGAGGGAGGGAGGGAGAAAAGAAGAGAGAGAGAGGAAATGAGATAGGAAGGGAGGGAAGAAGGGAAGGAAGGGGAAAGTAACTTTATGAAACCTGAAAAATACCTCAGCTCACAAAGGAAACCTATGCTAGGCACTGCTGAGTACCAAGATACAAATACAACCCCCAAGATGGTCCCTGGCCTCAGGGAGCTTAGATTCTAATAGGGGAACTCAACCCCTAAAGGGATGCTGGGAAGTGGAGGGGGCAGAAGGGTACCCACTAGAAGACAGACTGCTGTTTAGTGGTGGGGAGGTCTAGGCCCTGGCAGGGTAAGGCAGAGCCCCCCTAGCAGACCTGAGGAGCCAAGGGTGGAGTCCAAGTTTCCCTCAGGCTTAGAGATGAGCAGAGAGGTGACTTGTCCACGATCACCCAGGTAGCCTGTAGTAAAGGTGAGCAGCAGGGCCTCAATTCTGATTTGAGTTCATTGACTCCCCATCCAGCATTCTCTCCACTACTAATGTAAAAACTGGCCTGTTCTCTTAGCACCTCGGGCCTTAGGAGCTCTTGGTATTTGACTGCTGGGTAAAACTCTTCTCACCTGGGGGAACCAAGGCATGGGGCAGGGCAGAACCTCCCTCAAGTTGGTGCCTCCTAGATCCCAGAATCCCCCCTTCCCCAAATCCAGCACCAGAACTAAGGTGACTTGGGTGTTTTGCTTTCCAACACCCTCATGCTGAGCAATAGGGGTGAGGAGGATACCTGTATTTATTCTGTTTGCCAGGTTCCCTGTACCCAGATGGTACCTCTGGGAGGCTGAAAGCAGATGACACTGTTCCCCCCGGGGGGAGTCACATCTATAATTGGACCATACCTGAGGGCCACGCGCCTGCCCGTGCTGACCCTGCTTGCCTCACCTGGATCTACCACTCTCATGTGGATGCTCCCCGAGATATTGCCTCTGGCCTCATTGGGCCCCTCATCACCTGCAAAAGAGGTAGAATCTCCCAGCCAGAGGAGGGGGATGGGGCCTGGGGGATCCATCTGCTATTGTGGCCAGCCACAGCACTTTGAGCTGTTGGGATGGGGACGTTGACAGCTGCCGCCAATAGCCCCCAGTAGGCCGCCAGCTTCTCCCCCACTCTGAGGCTGCTTTAAGCAGTAGATAAAACACAGAGAGGCCAGGCATCTGGGAGCCTGTATTATGGCTGGAGAGAGGAAGTGGACAGGAAGGACAGCCAGAGAACCAGGTGAGGCCTCTTTGTGGCAGGGCAAGGGAGCTCTGGGGTGGCTTTCCCTGTGCGTCTTTGTGTTTCCCCGTGGGAAGTCTGATGTGCCAGGCTGTGCTATATAGAGCTGCCTGATGTCTTGGGCCCAGACAACAGCAAGGAGCCAGGGGATGAAGACTGTCAATGTCACAAAGTTATTGACTGTCTGGGTCAGAGGGACTGCCCTCCTCCATCCCTTTTGACTCTTCCACTACCATCTCATTCCTCCTCACCTCCCTGGCAAAGCTCCGAGTGGTATGTAGGTGGGTGTGGTCAGGGTGGGGGCTGCTCAGGGTTTGGCCTTGGTTGGGGTAGGGATTTTTAGGGTTGTGGCTGGTTTGGAGGAAGGATGTTAGGGGTGTGGTGAGATTGGGGGCTTGGCCAGGGTAGGGCACATATGTGATTGGAGTTAGGAGTGTGATTAGGGGTGGGACTGTGGTCAGGGCTGGGTCTTGGGCAGGATGGGTACAGGGTAAGCTATTTCAGTTTTAATTGAAGCCCCACATCAGAAGGTTAGACACCCTTCCTGCCATTGGCCAAACGTCCCAGGCCTCCCCTCTTCTCATTCTTTCCTTCTGGGATGTTTCCTCAGTTTCCTCTCCTGTCCCCTTTGTCATCCATCCTTGGGGCTCCTCATGGCCCTTTCCCTTCCTGCCTCCAGGAACCCTGGCTGGAAGCTCCCCCCCCAGGCGATGGGATGTGGACCAAAACTTCTTCCTCCTCTTCAGTGTGGTAGATGAGAATTTGAGCTGGCTCCTGGATAAGAACATTGCCTCGTTCTGTTCAGACCCTGCCTCAGTGGACAAAGAGGATGAGGCTTTCCAAGAGAGTAACAAGATGCACGGTGAGGCCACTTGGCTCCAGACTTCATGCTTGCGCCACCCCCTCTCCTTGACCTGATCAGGGATGCAGAGTCTCTGGGCCCCATCAGCCTGATGAGATGGGGGCATCTCTGGCCGTTGGTGCCCAGGGCTGAGCAAAGGCAAAACTGTAGGCGGGCAAAGAGTCTGCGTTCTCCATGCCCAGTAGGAAGGCCTTTTGGGTTGGCCACTCCCATCAGCAGATCATCAGGAACTGCCTCTGGAAGTCCTGCCTATTTGGGTAGGAATTGGCCTTTCCCAAATTTCATAAAATGTCAGAGCTGGACGGAATCAATCAACAAACCTTTATTAAGCGCCTACCTTGTGGCAAGCATGGTGCTGGTCTCTTGGGATATAAAAACAAAACAAAGCATTTATTGAGCACCTACTGTGTGCCAGGCACTGTGCTAAGGCTGGGGATATAAAAAGAGGCAAAAGACAGTCCCTGCCCTTGAGGAGCTTACAATCTAATGGGGATGACAACATGCGAACAAATGCATACAAAGCAAGCTCTGTACAGGATCAACAGGACATAACAAACAGAGGGAAGGCACAGAGGAGTTGGGGAAGGCTGCCTATAGAAGATAGGACGAATTTAATTGGGACTTAAAGGAAGCCAGGGAGGTCAGCAGTTGGAGCAGAGGAGGGGGAGCATTCCAGATCTGGGAGACACAACCAGAGAGAATGCCCAGAGCTAAGATGGGGGAGTCTTGTTGGTGGAGCAGCCAGGAGGCCAGAATCACTAGGCCGAAGAGTATGTGGTGGGGAGTTAGGGTAAGAAGCCTGGAAAGGTAGGGAGGGGGCTGGGTGATGGAGGGCCTTGAATGCCAAACTGAGAATGTTTTACTTGCTCCTGGAGACAGAACTGTGACTGGCACAGTGACTGGAACTGTTCTCCAGGGCTGCCCTCCCCAGCTCTTGGTCAGGCCCTGCAGTGGCTTGTTCCTCGTCAGAGGGGGGGCTGCAGGCCTTGCCCTCTGTTTTCCCTTTTGCTCACTCCACTCCCATCTTCCCCAGTGTCCACTGTCACCTTCAGAGGAAGCCCCAGTGAGAGACAGACAAGACTCAGTTTAACTCAACCTGTATAGTGTGTGTGTGCGTGTGTGCGTGCGTGTGTGTGTGTGTGCGTATGTGCATGTGATCAGGGAGGGGAGGTGCAGAGATACAAGACTTGGTCCCTTGCCTTGAGGATGTTACAGTCTAGGAGAGACAATATTCCAATAACTATTATACTTTGTTATCAATTTAAAATGAATGTAGAGAGCTAGGGGAGGCACAGAATCCAGTTAGTTCATTTTATGGAGAAGGAAACTGAGGCCCAGGGAGGGAAAGAGTCTTGTCCAAGGTCACCTAGGTAGCAGGCCTCAGGGGCGAGATTTAATCCCAAGTCCTTTGAGCCCCAGGCCAGGACTCTTTCCACTGAGTTGGGCTATCTCTAAACCTAGGTCCAGCCCTGGGGTCAGTCCCATGATCCCTCCAGGCCCGGGACTGGGTTTCTGACAGCAAACCTTAGGGGCTTCCCCCCAAGTATGCCATGCTTCCTTCTCGGTCCGAGGGAGGGTGAGGTTGTACCCAGGCAGGCTCCGGGCAGGAGGTAAGGGCCAGGGTGTGGCATGATGAGAGCTTGGGATGGTCAGGAGAGGGGGACTGTGGACTTGGCATGGGCAAGGTGAAATTTAGATTGAACTTTGCAGAATTTCTCCACACCCTTATTGCCCTTTTCTCTTGTTTTAACCTAGACTTTTTCGGATTGTGTGGTGGGAAGTTCTGTAGGTTTTCCTTACTGCCTGTGTGACCTCTTCACCTCTCTGGGCCCTGATTTCCTCTTCTGTAGAATGGAGGCTCCTAGGGTCCTAACTGTAGAGCTAGAAGGGACCATGGAGGACACGGATTCCAACTCCCTCCTTTTCCTTCTCTTCCCTCTCTCTCTGTCTGCTGGCTCTTTCCCTCTCCTCTGCACACATGCCCACATCTCCCTCGTCCTCCCAAACTGCTCACTTGATCCTTCCTTTCTCACTAACACCCATCCCATAGCTCTCCTCCTTTCTGTGGCTAAACTTGAGAAGGTCCCCTGTAAAGGGCGCCTCCATTTTCTTTCCTCTCCCTTTCTCCTTGAAGCTTTCCATCCTGGCTTGAGATCTCACTGGCACAGCCAGACGGCTCTCTCCAAAGTTGCCATTGATCTCTTAGCTGTCAAACCGAGGCCTTTTCTCAATCTTCATCCTCCTTGACCTCTCTGCAGCCTTGAGCATTATCAATCACCCTCTTCTCTTTGATGATTTCTCATGTCTAGGCTTTCTTGTCACACCTCTCCCTTGGTTCTCCTCCTACCTTTCAGACGGCTCTTCTGTCTCCTTTGCTGGGTCCTCCTCCAGATCATAGCTGTCCCCCAAGGTTCTGTTCTGGGCCCCCTTCTCTTCTCCCTCTCTACTATTTCATGGTGATATCATCAGCTCCCATGGATTTCATTACTATCTCTGTGCTGAGGATTCTCAAATCTGCCTTTTCTGCCCCAATCTCACATCTCCAGTTGTCTTTCAGACATCTTGAATTGAAATCCAGTAGACATCTTAAACTCGATATGTCCCAAACTGAACTCCTTGTCTTTCCCCCAAACCCTCCTATCATCCCTGTTACTGTCAAGGGCACCCCCATCCACCCAGTCCCTCAGGCTCACAACCTAAGAGTTCTCCTGGATTTCTCACTCTCTCACCCCCCATATCGAAGCTGTTGCTAAAGCCTGGCGATTTGACTTCTGCGAGATCTCTTGAGTATACCCCTTTCTCTCCTCGGACACTGTCCCCACCCTGGTGCAGGCCCTCATCACCTCAGTTTGGACTATTTCAATATCTTGCTTGGGGGGGCTGCCTGCTTCATCTCTCCCCACTCTAGTCCATCCTCCATTCAGCCACCAAAGGGGTTTTCCTAAAGCACAGCTCCTATTATCTCACCCCACCTACTCAATAAACTCCAGTGATTCCCCATCTCCTCCAGGAGCAAATACAAAATGCTTTGTTGGTGTTCGAAGGTCTTCATAACCCAGTCCCCTCCTACCTTTCCACTCTTCGCATACCTTACTCCCGTACACGTACCCCAGGCCCCAGTGATCCCAGACTCCTGGCTATTGCACAAACAAGACCTACCATCTCTCAGCTCCAGGCATTCTCTCTGGCTGCCCCCCACACCCAGAATCTTCTCCCAGCTCTATTCTGATTACTGAACTCCTCCTCAGAGTCCCAACTAAAATCCCACTTCCTACAGGAAGCCTTCCTCATTCCCTCTTCATTCCAGTTGCCTTCCCTCTGGTAATTATTTCTCATCGATTTGGTATAGGGCTTGTTTGTATATATTTATCTGCATGTTGGGAATCCCATTTGATTGTAAGCTCCTTGAGGGCAGGGCTTGACTTTGCCTCCTTTTATATCCTCAGCACTTAGGACAGTGCCTGACAGTGCACCTGGTAGGTACTTGATAAATGCTTGTTGACTGACAGATTGATGCCTAGAAAAGTTAGGTGACTTGTGCAAAGATATTGTCCTCATTTGATAGGTGAGGAAACTGAGGCCCAGAGAGGTTGAATGGTTTACCTCAAATTACCTAGCAAAGCAGGGACTAGAACCCAGGACTTTTGACTTTCTACCAGGCTCTGCTCTGTGCTGGGTTGCGGTCCTTTTCAGTCCTAGATGTAGGATCCTATGTGTGACCTTGGGCAAGTCATTAATCCTCCTTGGACCTCAGATTGCTCCTCTGTAAAATGAAGGGGTTGGACTAAATGGCCTCTGTGATCCCTTTCAGGTCTAGAGCCATGAGCCTATGGGCTCTCATCCCATATTTTGGAGATGAGATGATGAAAGTCATGGCCCTACTCCCTGCCTCGTGTCATTCAGGATAGTTTAGACTTTGATCACTTCTTTTCAAACCTTAAAGCCCTATACAAATGTTAGATTTTTTTTTGGCTAGGCAATGGGGCTAAGTGACTTGCCCAGGGTCACACAGCTAGTAAGTGTCAAGTGTCTGAGGCTGGATTTGAACTCAGGTCCTCCTGACTCCAGGGCTAGTGCTCTATTCACTGCATCACCTAGCTGTCCCCAAATGTTAGATATTTTTGTTGTTTTTGTCTGAGCCTTTGTCTTGCTACCCTGAAGAAGCCTGATCTCTATCCCTACATAGCAAGAACCTTTCCCCCTCCTCTTCTCTCCTCTCCCGCAGCCTAAAATTGTTGGCTGGCTCAATGGAAGTACAGGGTACTGAAGAGAATGAGGACTTTTGCCTAGGGAAATGTTGTATGGAGTGGTGAGGATAGCCCGGAATTTGGAGCCAGAGGACCTGGGTTCAAATTCAGCTCTGTTACCTGTGTGACCTTGGACAAGTAACTTTCCCTCCCTGGGCCTCAGATTCCTCATCTGGAAGGAGAGGGGGGGTTGGGCTGAATCTTCTCCATGGTCCTTTCCAACTCTAATGTTCCGGGATCTTGGTCCTTTTTGTAGCAATCAATGGCTTTGTCTTTGGGAACCTGCCTGAGCTGAGCATGTGCGCTGGGAAGCGTGTGGCCTGGCACTTGTTTGGCATGGGCAGTGAGGTGGACGTGCACACAGCCTTCTTCCCTGGGCAGACGCTGACAGTCCGGGGCCACCGCACAGATGTGGCCTCCCTCTTCCCAGCCACCTTTGTGACTGCTGACATGGTGCCCCAGGTCCCTGGCAGCTGGCTACTGAGCTGTCAGGTGAACAGTCACCTGAGAGGTATGATGTTTGGGTGCTCCTGGCCCCCTGGGACGGGAGGAAAGCAGCAGGGACTGTAGGAAAGGGAGGGTGTTTGGGCAAGGGCTGTCCAGATAGAGCTCCCAGAAACCTGGAGAGTCTGAAGATGCTGTAATACATCTTGGAGAAGGAGAATAGAGCTATGTGGCATCTGTAGGGGGTACTGTGTGCAAGTACAGTGGCATTCTGGGAGAAAGACATGGCAACAGAGCAAAAGAATACCTGTGTGTTAGCACAGTCTGCAAGGCAAGGCACCTGAGCTGTGGGAGCCAGAGGGCAGCAGCTGCTGCTAGTAGTTTTCTTTCTGTGAGCAGAGAAAGTTCAGGCTTCTGGGGTAGTAGTTAGGCTGGTGGTAGTCAGTCAACAAACATTTATTAAGTGCCTACTATGTGCTGGGCCTGTACCAAGTGCTGGTCATACAAAGAAAAGTAATAATACAATCCCTACCCTTGAGAAGCTCACAGTCCAATTGGGGAGAAAACCTGTAAACAATTAGATACAAGATACATACAGAATAGACAGGAGGTAATCTCAGAGGGGAAGATTCTAGCAATTGGGGGGATTTCCTGCAGAACGTAGGATTGGAGATGAGTCCTGAGGGAAGTCAGGAGTGGGAGCAGCCAGAGCGAATGCCCAGAGTTGGGAGATGGAGGAACATGTGGGGAATGTGAGGAATAGCTGGGAGGCCAGTGTTACCAGATCATGGAGAGGGGAAGAAAGTGTGAGAAGCCTGGAAAGGGAAGAAGGTCTCCTTGTGAAACAGAGGCTTTTCTATCTGATCCTGAAGGTAATAGGGAGCCATGGGAGTTTATTGAGGAAGGAGGTAGACTTGGTCTTTGGAAGCTCACAATGGAAGTTGTGAGTCTGGGGTACTGGGAAGATGGCCACAGCCTTGACATCGGTGAGAAAATTGGGAAGAAGGGAAGGGGTGGGGGAAAGATGATGAGTTCTGTTTTGGACATGTTAATGAGGAGATACTTAGGGGCCATCTGATTTGAGAGGCCCCCAAAGTTGTTGATGATGTGAGAGACCGGGGCCAGGAGCTGATGAGATCACTAAGTGAGATAGTGCAGAGAGAGAAGAGGAGGTGGCCCAGGGCAGAGCTTTGGAGGACCCATGTGGTTGAAGGGCGTGACCTGGAGCTGGCAAAGGAGTCTGGGAAGGAGGAGAGCCAAGAGCACCAGAAGAGGATCTCAGGGAGGAGAGGGTAATTCACAGTGCCCAAGGCTGCTGATCGGCCAGGAAGGCTGAGGATGGAGAAGAGGCTGTCAGATTTGGGAATCAGGACATTGTCAGTAACTCGGGAGGGAGCAGTTTCAGTTGAATGATGAGGGCAGAAGCCAGAATTGTAGAGTTCAGAAGAAAGTATGGGGAAGGGAAGTGGGCTTAAATGAGAGGGTGTGATTGGCTCCATCTCTTCTGTAAACACCCTTCCCCAATGCTGGGTCAGAAGCCTCTTCCCAGTATTCAAAGGTATGGTGGGCCCTTCTTGACTATACCAAAGTGTGGCTGATGCCAGGCCTGCTGGTGACGAGGGGCTGAGGTGTGTGTGGGCTCGAGATACTATCCCCTGCCCACCGTAGTGTCCCTTCTCCAGATGGCATGGAGGCACTCTACGAGGTCAGGCCATGCTCCATGGCCCCCTCGAAGACCCTCCTTACCGGCCAAGTCCGACGGTACTTCATTGGGGCCTCTGAGGAACGCTGGGACTATGGGCCCACAGGGAGAGATGGAAGGACTGGGAAGAACCTTCAGGAGCCAGGCAGGTAAGAGATGCCCTCTAGGTCAGACACCAGGGCCCTCTCTTTCTCTTGGGCCCTCTCTACCCTTGGTTTCCCTTCTTCCTTTCTCCTTTCCTCCGCCTCCCTCCACCCCCACTCCCCCCAGCAAACTCTTGGATTGCAAATGCTCCAAGACATACTGGCTGAGCTGGAACATGCTGGAGGTCTCTTGAGCATGGAACTGTATGCATGAAGAGCCCAGCCTGAGAGCCTGGCCCTAGCTGGGAAGTTTCTGAACAGTGACTGAAAAACAGAAACATCTCTGGCTTTGGAGTCAAGAGGAACCAGGTTCAAATCCTGCTGCTTCTCTGACTTTGGACAAGTCATTTCTCCCCTCTGGCCCTCAGTTTGCTCATCTGAAAAATGAGGTGATTGCATGAGATGGCTTCTGGGGTTCCTCCAGAGCGTGTGACCTTGGGCAGGTTTCTTAATCTGCTCCTCTATAAAAAGAGGGAGCTGCACTAGCTGGCTTCGGAAGGCCTTTTCCAAGCCTGGGCAAGCCCCTTCACCTCCCTGGGCATCGGTTTCCTCCTCTGTAAAACGAGGGGGTTGCACTAACTGGTCTCTGATGTTCCTTCCTGCTCTAGACGTAGGATCCTGCGGGACTTGGGATGGCCTAGTAGGACATGGGAGGGTAGGCAGGTGGCTCTTGGGGAGGGGTTACTGCTTCGGCCTTCCCCGGGACCTGAACACCACAGCGAATGGAGTGGCTTCTTGCTTTTTTCTTCTTCACAGACTTACTGTGTCAGATCCAGGAAAGGACCTGGAGCGTTCAGAGCTGGAAGGGCCCTTAGAGCTAATCTGGGCGTTACCCCCTCATCTTACAGATGAGGAAACTGAGGCCCAGAGAGGTCACATCCCCAGCCCTCCAACCTAGGGTCTCTGACTCCAAATCCAAGGCTTTTTACCACTAGAGTAACCCTGGGAGCCTCAGCCTGGAGAAGTCCTGGGAGCCAGATAACTCCTCCGATGGCTCAGATAAGATTGGGAAGGGGAAGAAGGAAAGAGATGGCTGTGGTTGGGCCTCACTGTCCTCATCCTTTCCTCTGAATGTCCTGGCTAAGCTTGGGCAAAATGGAGTGGGAGGAAGGTAGGGTACCTAACCCTTGGATGGAGGAGCCTTCTGGCTTCATCTGAGATTGTGTAAGGCTGAGGGGAGACAGCAGAGAAAAAGGCCTCAGGCCTTTTCTTCCACGTCATTCCTACTATCAGGAGAGAGGAAAGGGAAACCTTTTGCAATATTTGAAAAAGGACAAGGGACTTAAGAGAGGCAGCATTTATAACCCATTCTCCTGGGAATTGGGAAGAAAGACCTGGTATCAAGTCCTGCCTGTGTTGTGTACTGGCAGGGGGACCTTGGCTAATTCACTTGACCTCTTAGTGACCACGCTGTAAGTTATAGAAGGGGATGGCCATCTGCTTCAGTGGAGGGAGTTTCTGCACTGGGAGTTTCCTCATGCCAATATAATTGCCAGCGTTCGGGCATGTATGCACACACGCATACACACACACACACACACACACACACACACACTTACACACATACACACAATCATATGATACTTGGAGAATCAGGGCCCCAGTGTAGCTCCCAGAAGAGGCCTCCAACTAGGAAGTTCCCTTCCACGAGGCAGCTTGGTGTACTGACCTGGGAGTCAGAAGGCTTGCTAGTATAGTGCAGCAGGGGCCACAGTCAGCAGCCCCGGGCTGGAATTTCTGGCTGTCACAGTTACTCATTGGGTGATCCTGGGTAAATCACTTCATCTCTGGAGATGAAGACAGCAGGTAGTCCTTGAGAGCTGCTTTGAGCCTGCTTTGAAGGCTCTGAAATGCTTTGTTGCATGTCAGAGGGCTCATCAATTCTAATTAGCTCCTTTTACAGCTGTGAACACTGAGGGATTGGCCCAAGGTCCCCCGGTCAGGAGCCAACTCCCCTTACTAAATCAGGCCCTCTTTTCATTCTGCAGAGGTCAGGGGAGTGCAGGGCTTGTGTTTGGGGAAGGGGTAAGCAGTGTTGACCTGGCTAGGGGAGTGGGGTGGGACCTGTCACTGTTCTCCCAGTATCCCATGGAGATGGGAGGAGGTACGTTTCCTTATTTGTTTTTTGTTGTTTAATGTTTGATGAAGGCATTTATGTGTTTTTCCATTATTGTTGCTTCCACACAATGACTCCCCAACCCCAAAATCGACAAAGTCTCTTTTAGAACAAATAAGTGTAGTCCAAATAAGTTGCCATATGGACATTGTGGGACCTCCTCATTCCAAACCTACCGTTCACGCTCCCTCTGCTTCCTCAAGGTCTCTTTGGAAGTCATGCTTGGTCACTGAATTGATCATAGGATCATTGGCTTATAGCTCTGTCACTGCAAAGCAGCCTCCCAGGCCATTGAATTCAACCCCATCATTTTATGGAGGAAGAAACTAAGGCCAATGGAGGAGAAGTGACTACCCCAAGGTCACACAGCTAGTAAGTGTTTGAGGCCAGATTTGAAACCAGGTCTTCCTGACTTGTGGTTCTGCTTACTTCTGGGCAACAAAAACACATTCCATTCACATACTGATTTGTTCAAGCATTCTCCAGTTCATGATAACTCATTTTGCTTCCACTTCTCTGATAAATATTTTCTGTACATAGGGCTCTCTCCTCGGTCCTTGGGGTCCATGTCCAACCGTGCTATTGACGGTGTGCACAGTTCAATGATTTTTGGGACTGTGGCCCAAACCCAAATTCCACAGCATCCCATGTCTGTTGCCCCATTCAGTCATCGACACCAAGGCCTGGGGCTCTCAAGAGGGGTAGGAGATGGGGAGTGAAGTCATGTGACAATTGAGTCTTCCTGTCCTAGCAACTCGGAAAAGTTCTTCCAGAAGAGTTCCAGTAGGATTGGAGGCAGTTACTGGAAAGTCCGCTATATCCAGTACACAGATGAGACATTCCAGATGAAGCTGCCACAGTCTGAGGAAACCTTGCACCTGGGCATCATGGGTAAGCCTCACCAGGGTGGAGTTGGGACCTCGAGAGCATGAGGCTGGGGCAGGCCAGAGAACTGGGAGCAATTGGCCACTGTGCCAGGAAAGACCTGGTTTGAGCTCTTCCTGCCTCCACAGTAGGGATGCTGCAGATAGAGTAGAGAGTGGACAATAATAATGGCCTCCCACGCACCAGGCACTGTCCTTGGTGCTGGAGATACCAAGACAAAGCCTGAGCTTTGAATCAGTCAGCAAGCCCTTACTGAGCACCTGATGTGCACCAAACAGGGGCCTCCTTGGTTTTCTCCCTCCTTCCTTCCTGTTCCTGTCTGCCTCCTCTGCCTTCTTTCCAAAACCCTTCTTATTTCAGCCCCCTTTTATTTTTCCCTTGCCCAGGGCCGGTGATCAGGGCTGAGGTGGGTGACACCATCGAGGTAGTGTTCTACAATCGAGCCTCACAACCATTCAGCATTCAGCCCCACGGTGTCTTCTATGACCAGGACTACGAGGGCACAGTGTACAATGATGGTCAGTCAGTCCCTGGCCTGAGGGCTTTTGGGGGCCAGCCTCATGGGCACTGGTCTTCCCTTGGGCAGGCTGCTTCACCCAATGGCAAGAGCCCTCAGTGGGCTGGTTGGTTGCCTTAGGGGCAGATGTTTGCTTCTTGACATATCAAATTGCTCCCATGATCCCTTCACCAGAGCTGACTGCACTGGGATCATACTAAGACTCAAAGAAGATGAAATTTAATAGGGAGAAGTAGAAAGACCTATGCCTAGGTTAAATGAAAAGAAACCAACTGCTCAAGACCAGAATGTCCTGAATAGATTCCTAGGTCAGCCTGTGACAAGGGCATGACGTGGTCGCATCCGTGCTCTCCTTGTGCTCTCTTAGGTAGCATTGGTGAGTTGGAAGGGCCAAGCGGGGCCCTCCACAAAAGGAATCCCAACTATCACATTGCCAAAAGCAGTCTTTGGGCTTCTGCTCAAAGACTCCCAAGGATAAGGAGCTCACCACCTCTGAGGCAGCCCATATGGGGCCAGCTGTGCCTGCTAGGAAGGTTTTCCTGACGTCTTTGGCCTCTATGTACCTTGTCCTCTGATCACAGAATCCTTGAGCTGGGTCTGGAAGGGCCCTTGGAGGCCTCACACTGAGTCCCACATGATAGCCCTTACTGGAAGACAGTTCTTGTGTCCTCAAATCTAAACCTTCTTTTCTCCAGACTGAACATGCCCAGCACATTCAATCGATGCACATGAGCTTCTCAGAGTCTTTCTTAATCTGTGGGTTCCAGAATTCTCTGCAATGCTCCTTTTTTTGGCTAGGCAATGGGGTTAAGTGACTTGCCCAGAGTCACACAGCTAATAAGTGTTATGTGTCTGAGGTCAGATTTGAACTCAGGTCCTCCTGACTCCAGGGCCAGTGCTCTATCTACTGTGCCACCTAGCTGCCCTTTCTCTACAATATTCTGAATGAGGCCTGCTGTCCTGTGTCCTGGTCAGAGCCCCTCCCAGGGGAGTCATCTGTTCCTTTCTGGGCTCCTTGCTGCTGGAGTATCCAGAGGAGGACAGCCAGGTTAGGGAAGGGACTTTTATATTATGGTCATTGGGAATGGTTGGAAGGAGTTGAGGATGCTCATTTTAGAAAAGAGATCTTCGGGAATGTGATGGCTGCTTGCAAGTATTTGAAGGCCTGCTGTGTGGAGGTGGGGTTAGCTTTATTCTACTTGGCCCCAGAGGGCAGAACCAGGGGCATTGGGGGATGTTTCCAAGGGAAGGTTTAGTTGCAATGTATGGAAAACCTGATAAGAATTTGAGCTGTCCCAGAGCTGACGGGTTGGGATCCCTCTTCCTGGAGTTTTTCAGAGGGGAATTCTTGGTGACAGGCTGGACTAGGTGGCCTCAGAGATTCAGAAGAATGAGGCCTCAAACGTACTGAGAACTCTATTCTTTGGGAGGGGCCTTGGCAGCCATCGGCTCAGCTCATCAACAAGAAGTGGGGCAGGGCCAGTATTGCTCTGTGGAAGATGAGGACGGCTCCATTCCATCTATTGTTGTTCACTTGTTTCAGTCTTGTCTGATTCTTCATAACCCCATTTGGGGGTTTCTTGGCAGAGATACTGGTGTGCTTTGCCATTTCCTTCTCCAGCTCATTTTACAGGTGAGGAAACTGAGGCAAACAGGGTGAAGTGACTTGCCCAGGGTCACAGTGTCTGAGGCAGGACTTGAACTCGGGAAGATGAGTCTTCCTGACTTCAGGCCTGAAATGCGGTCTATCCACTGCAGCGCCACCTAACTCCCTCCTGCCCTCCCCCATTCCATCTACAGTAGGACAAATACTGTCACCCCCATTTTACAGATGAGAAAACCAAGGCCCTAATTAGAGAAGGGAACTGCCTTTCCTTGAGTCACTCAGCTAGTCAATGGCAAAGTTGGAACACACTACATGTCTTGCTTAGGCCTCACACTGCCTCACCTTTGTGGCTTTCCACAAAGCCTGTCTATGGGATAAGGCTTCTTGTAGAAGTGGTTGATCTAGGCCCTGGTTGTGCAGAATTATTTGGCCCCATCATGCTGCATTTTGAGAGGCAGCATGGTACCAGTGGGCGGAGTTCTGGCTTTGGAGTCTGAATCCTGCCTCCATCACTAACTACTTGGGTGACCTTGGCCAAGTCACTTTTGCTCCTTGGACCTCACTTTCCTCATCTGTAAAATGAAAATGTTATACTAGATCCAAGGTTCTTTTTTCTTGTTTAATATTTTATTTTTCCCAATTACATGTGAAAATAATTTTAACATCCTTTTTTTTTTCAAAATTTGAGCTCCAAATTCTCTCCCTCTCTCTCTTCTCCCCCCATTGAAAAGACAAGCAATTTGACATACATACACATACATGTATAGTCATGCAAAACACATTTCCATGTAAGTCATTCTGTGAAATAAAACACAGACAAAAAATCCCAAGAAGAATAAAGAAAGTAAAGAAAAAGTATCTTTGATCTTCATTCAGTCTCTACCAGCCTGGGAAGGGACAGCACTTTTCATTTTAAGTCCTACAGAATTGTCTTGGTAGATACGGGGGGTGAGGGGTATCTTGTGAACTTTAAAAAAAAAATTGATAACTATATTTTAATATCGTTGGCTTCCTTTGTAATCCTCTATTTTTAGTTTATGAATTTAAAAACCTGATTCTGAAAAGGGGCACAGAGATTTCACCAGCCTATGACATGGGAGTTCATAACCCCCTAAAAGATTAAGAACTTTTGGATTAGATAACCTTTGAGGTCCCTTCCAGCTGTAAATCTCAGACTCTCTGATCCCATCCAGGGTCACGTCAACATGGCTTGGTCGCCAAGTCCTTCGAGAAGGTCACATACCGCTGGACCGTCCCTCCCCATGCTGGCCCCACTGCCAAGGACCCAGCCTGTCTCACTTGGATGTATTTCTCAGCTGTCAGTCCCATCAAGGACACCAACTCTGGCCTAGTAGGGCCCCTTCTGGTCTGCAAAACGGGCTCCCTGGGGGCCAATGGCAAGCAGGTGGAGTGAGGTGGAGGGATGTCTGGGGTTTGAGTGGGCAGGCCTAAGAGGCATGGCCTGTTGGAGCTGCTTGTTGGGGTGTGTGGTGGGATCAGGGGGTCATGGGTTCATGAGTCGGACTTTAGAGGATTGAGATGGAATGGGGCTGTGGTCCTTTTCCAAAAGCTGTCAGCTCACAAATAATAGTTATTGAATTCAGGGGTACTCCTTTCTTCTCAAGAACTATCCAAGTGTCTCCCCTTTCTTGCTCCTATTGCTTTGCGTTCCTGTTTTCTCCCCCTCCCACTAGTCCGACTTTCTCTTGTCCCCCAGTTTCCTCTTAGCCCCTGACCCTCTCCCTCATTCTCCCTTGGCACAGCCTAACTAACCTTTACCTTCCTAGGCTAGTTTTGACCAAGAAGCCTCTCCCAGCTGGGGGCTGTTTCTGGGCCCTGGGGTTGGGGAAGCAGCTCCAGAACACTGGCCCTGGCCCCTGGCATGTGGAGTCGTTGTTCAGAGAGGAAGCTGGCTGCCACACAGGATACAGAGTCAGATTTGGCAGAGTTCGAATCCTGCCTTAGCTGCTCACTAGCTAGATGACCATGGGCAAGGCATTTCACCTTCCTGAGTCTCAGTTTCCTCAAAAATGAGAGAGTTGGACTCAATAAGAGCTAGCATTTATATAGAGCTTTAAGGCTTGCAAAGTTCACGTGATCCTCACATAACCCTATGAGGGACGTGCTATTATTATTCCCATTTTGTAGATGAGGAAACTGAGACACAGATGTTAAGTGACTTGCCCAGGGTCACATAGCTATTAAGTATCTAAGGCAGGATCTGAACTCAGGTCTTCCAGACACTAAGCCTGGCACTCTAGCCACTATAGCACCTAGTTCAATGACCTTTAAAGTTCCTTCCAGCTCCAGGTCTATGACCCATGATCCTCTGTTCTCTCCCTGGGATCTGCAGAAAGGTGTGGACAAGGAATTCTTTCTTCTCTTCACTGTCTTTGATGAGAACGAGAGTTGGTATAGCAGCACCAACAAGGATGCCGCCATGTTGGACCAAAAACACCTCTTAGAAGATGATGAAAGCTTCTTAGACTCCAACAAGATGCACAGTAAGGTTCCCGCGAGGCCCTCCCCACTTCCTGTATCCCTCCACTCAGCAGGGCTCTAGGGCTTGTCCTGACTGGCTTAGTGCTTAGTAAGACTGAGGGAGAGATGAAATGGAGGAGGCAGAACAGGCCAAGCCAGGCCTTTTCTGAGGAGCTGCTGTGTTCCCAGGCCTGGGCAGCTGAGAGTGGGGAACCAAAGAGGTGAGGTGACTTGGGATCATGAGGCCATACATTTCAGAGTGAGAGAGGGCCCCACTGGCCTGGAAAAGGGTGGCCTGGGTGATAGGGCCTCTGAGTTCCTGTCCAGCTTGAGATCTAAGTGCCCATGTTTAGCCCTAGGGAAGTCACTTCACCTCCTTGGCCTCTGTTTCCTTCTCTGTAAAAAGACTGGGTTGGATTAGCTGGCCTTTGAGGGCCCTTCCAGCTTTAAGTCTCTGATCTCATAAGCCTAAGTCACTTTACCTCCTTGGCCTCAGTTTCCTCATTTGTAAAACGAGGAGTGTGGACTAGGCCAGGGGTCCCAAACCTCTTTTTGTCCCAGAGCCCTTCAGCATCCTAGTGAAACCAATGGGCCTCTTCTCAGAATCACAGTAGACTCAGGGGTATATGATACTAATACTTCAATGCTTCAGGTATCTGTAGCTGTGGCAGGGTGCCCAACCCTGACCCCCTGAATACAGGGAACCACAACTCAGAGGGCTGAATGATGAATTCGTTAGAAAGATGTCAGACAAGTGCTTTGTAAGACCCGATTCTCTGTTCTATCCCGCCCTACCTCAGCTCTAACATTCTGTGTTCTAAGACACCTTTCTCCTCTGTAAGCGCAATAATGTGAGCAAAACCCTGGTGAGATGAGAGCTCAGTGCCTGATGGGAGTTCTAAATGTAGCCCAGTTTGCTGACAGATGTCCTCGAGGGGGCTGATGGGAGGCACAGTTGCAAAGGTCTCCTGGCATCCGATTATGGGGAGCCTGGAATGTCACGGGAAGGCGATGAAGAGCTGTGCAAGATTTTTCGTTGAAGGCGTGAAATGTCCAGGGTTAGACAGGAGGACATTTGTCAGTGAAGTGGAATAAATGAGAGATTGGAGGCGCTGTGGTACAGCAGAGAGAATACTGAATTTGGAAGGCTTGAGTTCAAATTCTGACTCTGCCACTTACCAATTCTGTGACCTTGGGCAAGTCCCTTCCTCTCCCTGGGCCTCAGTTTCCTCTTCTGTAAAATGAAGGGGGTTGGACCAGATCAGCATTTCCTAAACTTTTTGGTTTCAAGACCCCTTTCCATTCTTTTTTTTTAATTAATTTTTTTGATTTATCAATAATCACTTCAATATGCTTTTGAGTTTAAAATTTTTCTCCCCCTTCCTCCCCACCACCCTCCCCAAGACGGTGCACAATCTGATATAGGCTATACATTTACATTCATATTAAACATATTTTCACATTAGTGATGTTGTAAGTAGAAATTAAAATCAATAGGAGGAACCATCAGAAAGAGGAAACAAAACTCAACAGAAAAGAAAAAAATAACAATTCGGCTTCCATAGTTCTTTCTTTGGATGTGGATAGCATTTTCCATCATAAGGCCTCTGGAGATGTCTTAGATCCTTGTATTGCCAGGAAGGGTTAAGTCTATCAAAGTCAGTCATCACTCAATGTGGCTGTTACTGTGTACAACATTCTCCTGGTCCTGCTCACTTCACTCTGCATCAGACCATACAAGTCTTTCCAGGTTTTTCTGAAGTCAGCCTGCTCATCATTTCTTATAGCACAGTAGTATTCCATTACATTTATATATCACAACTTGCTCAGCCATTCCCCAATGGATGGGCATCCTCTCAATTTACCCCTTTCCATTCTTAAAAATGATTGAAGACCCCTTCAAAGAGCTTTTGTTTCTGTGGGTTATAACTGACATATGCCTTCTTACAAAGTAAAATATGTTAGAACTATGAAAATAGTTATGACTTTGTGGACCCCCTGAAAGGTTCTCTGGGAGCATGTGGGCCACCGTTTGAGAACCAATGGAGTAATGGCTCTGCCGAGCTCTAGAGCTGTGCTCCTGGGATCTCTTAAAACCCCTTCCATTCCTGTGACTTTATGGGGAGAGAGAAGAATGAAGGAAATAAACATTAAGTACCTACTATGTGCTAAACATAAGCACTTCATTAGATACTACTGTTATCAGAGTACCCCATTTTCTAGTTGAGGAAACTAAGGCAAAAGGGGTTAAGTCATTTTGCCCAGGGTCACACAGCTAGTAAGTGTCTGTGCCCAGATTTGAACTCAGGTCTTCCTGCCCCCCAGGGCCTGAGCTCTACTCACTGAACTACCTGGCCTCTTAGGAGGTTATTGCAGTGGTGCAGGAGCCCTTCAGACCTGCCATACTGTCAGTGGTTATAGAGGCCCTGTGTTCTTTTGTGATGTCCAAGCTGGTGCTGTGTGAGGCCTTGCATAGTGAAGCCTCCAAAGATATAGACAGGACTGTCACCATTCTGATGTCTGTCACTTTCCCCTTGGACACCAAGCTGGCTGGTGGTTTGGTTTTAGGCACCTCAGCACAAGGATTGCTTCCTTCCTTCTTGTCTCCTAACCCCTGCTACAGTGCCTGGAACAGAGAGGGCGCTTAATAAGTATTTGCTGTTTGAATGTCTAGCTCGAAGGTCAGATGAGTAGCTTTCTAAATGCGTGGCTGCATTATCTGGGGATTTGGCACCTTCTCCAGCCAGCAGGGGGCAGTGTTGGTAGTGGAGAAAAACCCTATTCTTTATGAGAAATTTCTGGAAAAACCATTTCCAGGCCTTTTTTTTTTTTTTTTTTTTTTTTTTTTTGGTTCACTCTCTCAGCAAGTGTGTTTGCTGTGTCAGGGATGAGATGCCACCCTCACTCTCTGGATTCACGTGGAAAAAGGAAATGTCTCCCATGGGTGTAGACTTGGTGATTGAGAGCCAGAGTGGGGGTCTGTGACTCCGCTTTGGAGAACTTTGGGGTTAACACTTGCTTGATGCTGGTAGTTTCTTCTGTGGTCCTCTCTGTTTCATTGATTCTGAGAAGGGGCCCATTGGTTTCACTAGGATGCTGAAGGGCTCTGGGACAAAAAGAGGTTTGGGACCCCTGGCCTAGTCCACACACTTCATTTTGCAAATGAGGAAACTGAGGCCAAGGAGGTAAAGTGACTTAGGCTTATGGGATCACAGACTTAAAGCTGGAAGGGCCCTCGGAGGCCAGCTAATCCAACCCAGTCTTTTTACAGAGAAGGAAACTGAGGCCAAGGAGGCAAAGTGACTTCCCTAGGGTTTAAACATAGGTACTTAGATCTCAAGCTGGACAGGAACTCAGAGGCCCTATCACCCAGACCACCCTTTTAGAGGCCAGTGAAACCTTTTCCCACTTTGAAATGTGTGGTCCCACAATCCCAAGTCACCTCACTTCTCTGGGTCACCTACCCCATTTGGAGATAGATGGGATTGGCCTTGGAGGTTCCTTTGAACTCGTAAATCTGTGATGTGAGGATTTCCAGTCATTTCCCTGATCTGCACCACAGTCTCCCAATTTGCAAGTTGAAAGGAGAGGACCTCTTTGCATCAGAATTCTCTGATCCCTTCATCTCAATTCACATCTAGTCTCTGGGCCTCAGTTTCCATCTGTGGAATAAGTGTATAGAAGCAAACTTCTCCTGAGGTCCCTTTGAACAATGAAAGCTAAGTAGACCATTACCTAGAGCAATGAGCCTGGAGGCAGGAAGTCTGGAGTTCAAAACTGGTCCTGAGTACTTTCTAGCTTATTGATCCTGGGTAAGTCAGTGGTCTACTCTGCCTCAATGTTCTCAAGCTTAAAATGGGATAATTTGCATCTAAGGGCTGAGGTTGTTGTGATGATCAGATGAGACGATATGTTTGTAAAAAGTGCCTAGCTTACTGCCAGGCACGTAGTAGGTGCTTATTAAAAGCTAGTTGTCATTGTAATTGAGGAAGAGTCTTTCAAAGGCTCATTTAACTGATCAGGCAGTTAGCAAGCTGAGCTGACACAGGACTGAGACAGGAGCAAAGAAGTTCTGAGTTCAAGATTAGCCTCAGACATTTTCTAGCTCAGTGATTCTGGATAAATCATTTTACCCATTTGCAGCCTCGGTGTTCTCAGGTGTAAAATGGGTATAAGATGATTGCATGAAAATCTTAAGGTTGTGATGAGGATCAAATGGGATGATATTTCTACAAAGGGTCCAGCACATAGTAGGTACTTACTAAATTCTAGTTGACAGTATAGTTCTGTGAGAGAATTCTTCATAAGGGCCACTTAGTTTATCAGGCACTGAGGTGACTGAGTGAATAGAGGGACAAGAATGAAGTTGGGAGGGACAGCTAGGTGGCATAGTGGATAGAGCATTGGACCAGGAGTCGGGAGGACCTGAGTTCAAATGTGGCCTCAGACCAGACACTTGATACTTACTAGTTGTGTGACCCTGGGCAAGTCACTTAACCCCAATTGCCTTACCAAAGAAAAGAAAGAAAGGAAGGAAGGAAGAAAGGAAGAAAGGAAGAAAAAGAATGAAGTTTGGAAGTAGGGAGGTCAAAATTAGACTCAGACATGTGCTAGCTTAGTGACCCTGGATAAGTCATTCAACTACTCTCTGCCTCAGTGTTCTCAGAGGTAAAATGGGCATAATAATATTGTAACTAACTCCTAAGGTGTTTGTGAGGATGACATGAGATAGGTTTTATAAAATGGTTTTAGGATGACTCCTGGGACACAGAAGGTTCTTGGTTGATTTGTATAGACGAATATCCGGAGAAGGCTATTTACTGAATTAAGGAGGCAAAAAGGTGAGGGTGCATAAAACTAAGCCTGGAATAAAGAGAGCTTGAGTTCACAATGTGTCTTGATCCACTTTTTGACTAAAAGACCTTAAATAAGTCAGTAAACTACTCTTTGCCTCAGTGTTCTCACATGTAAAATGGGTATAATAATATTTCATGTGACTCCTAAGAATTTTCCAAGCATGAAATACAGTGATATTACTTAATGGGGCATAGAACAGTGCATGGCACATAGTAGGGGTGCACTAAATGCTAGTTGTCAGTACAATTCTAGAGGAGAATTTTTGGAAAAGGACATTTATTGTGTGAGGAAGAATTAGTGTGACAAGGTCATTTAATACACCAGGGAGCTAGCTAGAGTTCCCAATGGGCCTGATTCACTTTTTAATGTAGAGACGTTGGAGAAGTCACTGAAATGGGGCAGAGGACAGTATGTGGCACATAGTAGTGCAGCACTAAGTATTGGTTGTCAGTATAATTCTGTAGGAGAATTCCCTATAAAGAATATTTATTGTGTTAGGGACCTAGCAAGGTGAGAGCGCATAGAACTAAGCTTGGGGCAAAGAAAGCTTGAGTTCACAATGTGTCTTGATCCACTTTTTGACTTACAATCTTAAGTCAGTAAACTACTTTTTACCTCAGTGTTCTCACATGTAAAATGGGTATAATAATATTTCGTGTGACTCCTAAGGGAGTCACGGGCATGAAATACAAGGATAGTACTAAATAGGGCATAGGATAGTCCATGGCACATAGTGGGGCCACAATCAATGCCAATTGTAAGCATAATTCTATAGGAGAATTCTCTGAAAACAACATTTATTATGTTAGGGAGCTAGCTTGAGTTCACAGCGGGCCTGATTCGCTTTTTGACTTAGAGACCTTAAATAAGTCAGTAAACTACTCTTTGCCTCAGTGTCCTCACACATAAAATGGGTATAATAATATTTCGTCCGGCCTCAGACACTAGACGCTTGACACCTACTAGCTGTGTGACCCTGGGCAAGTCACTTAACCCCGATTGCCTCACCGACAAAAAATATTTTGTGTGACTCCTAAGGGAGTCATGGGTATGAAATACAGTAATATTACTAAATGGGGCCTAGCACAGTGCATGGCACATAGTAGGGGTGCATCTCTGCAAAAGACATTTAATGAATTTGGGAGGAAGAAAGGTGAGGGCACATGGAACTAAGCCTGGTTTAAAGAAGGGCTGAATTCATAATGAGCCTGATTCACATTTAAACTTAGAGACCTTAGATAAGTCATTCAACTATTCATTGTCTCAGTATTCTCAGGGATGAAAATTCTGTAAAAAGGATATTTATTGTGTTATGGGGTTAGCAAAATGAGCACACATAGAACTAAGCCTGTAATGAAGAAGGCCAGAGTTAAAAATTGGCCTGAGACATTATCTAGCTTAGTAACCTTATAAACAGCACTCACCTCCTCTTTGCCTCAGTGTTCTCAGGTGTAAAATGGGGATAATAATCTTTCACATAACTCCTGAGAGTGTCGTGAACATGAAATACAATGATATTACTAAATGAGGCATAGGGCAGTGCGTGGCATATAGTAGGGGTGCACTAAATGCTAGTTGTTACTATAATTCTGTTGGAAAATTCTCTGCAAAGGACATTTACTATGTTAGGGAACTAGCTAGAGTTCCCAATGGGCCTGATTCACTTTTTAGCTTAGAGACCTTAGATAAGCCACTCAACTATTCCTTGTCTCAGTGTTCTCAGGTATAAAATGGGTATAAATAATATTTCATGCAACTCCTAAGAATGTCATGCACATGAAATACGCTGATATTGCTAAATGGGGTAGAGTACAGTGCATGGCACATAGTAGGGGTGCACTAAATGGTAGTGGTCTGTATGATTATATGGGAGAATTCTCTGAAAAAGACATTTAATGAATTTGGGAGGAAGTGATGTAAGGGCACAGAGAATTAAGCCTGGTCCAAAGAAGGCTCGAGTTCCCAAAGGGCCTGAGTATTCTCAGTGGTCTCAGGGGTAAAATGGGTACAATAGTCTTTCACGTAACTCCTGAGAGTGTCATGAACATGAAATATAATGATATTATTAAATGGGGTAGAGTACAGTCTGTGGCACATAGTAGGGGAATAATAAATGCCAACTGTCATTTTAACTCTGTAGGACAATACTCTGAAAAGACCATCTAATGTGTTAGGCCCCTAGCAAGATGAGAACATATGGAACTAAACCTGGCAGAAAGAAGTCTGGGGTTCAAAATTGGCCTGAGACACTTTTCTGGCTAAGTGACCTCAGAGAAGTCATTCAACTACTCTTTGCCTCAGTGTTCTCAGGTGTGAAATGGGTACAAGAGTATTTTGTATAACGAGGATCAAATGAGATACTTGTACCAAGTGTACAGCACAGTGCCTGGCACATAGTAGGTGCTTAATAAATGGCAATTGTCATTATAAATTTGCAGAAGAAATCTAATTGTTCATTCACTGCAAGCCGTGTGTTGCCAGTGGTGGGTAGCAGCCATAGCCTCCTTCAGAGGCGGTGATTTGACTGGGCCAGTTGGGCCTGGTGTGATCTGACCTGCCACCACTGTTAACCCTCAGTCTGTGTTTTTTTTCCTCTTTTTCAGCCATTAATGGTTTTGTCTTCTCAAACCTGCCTGGGTTAGCCATGTGTCAGGGGGACACAGTAGCCTGGCACTTCCTCAGCCTGGGCACCGAGATTGACATGCATGGAGCCATGTTTGAGGGCCATACCATCCAGATGCTGGGCATGAGGAAGGCTGGAGCTTCCCTCTTCCCACACACCTTCGCTACAGCGCTCATGCTTCCAGACACTCCAGGTAAGGCCTCTGGCTTAACATGAGATCCTTGGAATGGTGAGAGGCGGCCCCCTGGGCCCCATCCCATTGCCTCCTCACTGCCCCAGATCTCTGGACCCTTCTTAGCCTTGACTACACTGGCAGCATGCAAGGTCTCTCTCTCCTCCCAGACCATCCCGTGTCTGGCTTCGCTTAGGGGATCTGTCTACCTAGTCAACATTTATTAAGCACCTACTACACAATGCCAGGCACTGTGCTGAGCACTAAGGATGGAAAGAATGGTAAAAACCAGTCCTTGCCCTCAGGGAGCTCCCAATATAATGGGGCAGACAACATGCAAACAACTGTGTCCAAACTGGATCTAGGAGGACTCGTTGGCCACAATTAACAGAGGGAAAACCCTAGAATTAGGGGATATTGGGACAGGTTCAGGGCTAGGAGGCTCACTAAATGGAGGGCTGGGGTCAGTAGGAAACCTTGAATTTCAATCCAACCTCAGACACTTAGTAGTTAGTCACTTAACCTCTGTCTGCCTCAGTTTCCTTAAATGTAAAATGGGGATCATAATAGCACCTAATCTCCCAGAGTTGTGAGGATCAAATGAGATCATCTTTGGACAATGCTTGGCACTTAGTAGGTGCTATATAAATGCTCATTCCCTTCTCCCCCCTCCCCATCCCTCTCTTACTGTAAAAGATGGGATTTTAGCCAAGACTTGAAGGAAGCCAGGGAAGGCAGGAGGTAGAGATGAGGAGGGAGGGCCTTCCAGGCAGGGGGCAAAGCCAAGAAGAAGGCTGGAGTTGGGGATGGAGGGTCTTATGTGAGGCACAGCAGGGTGGTCTGTGTTACTGGATTGGAGAGTCTGTGGGGAGGGGGTGGTGACAAAAAGTATAAGAAGACAGGAAATGTATATATGGAGGGTTTTGAGCACCAGATCAGATTTTATATTTGATTTTTAAAATATTTATTATATATCAATCAAAATGAATATATATTTGATTATATAATATATAATAATACAACCAGATATATTATATGTAAATATTATAATATATAATAATTCATATAATATAATAATATAATGCATTATATATATTACATGTTTATATAATCAGATATATATTATACTTGATTTATATTTGATCCCAGAGGCAATAAGTAACCACTGGAGTTTGCTGAGTAGGGGCTGTGGCCAGACCTGTACTTTAGGAAGAGCACTGGCAGCTGAGTGGGGGATGCAGTGGAGTGGGGAGACTGAGGCAGGCAGACCCATCAGCAGCCATTGCTATAGTCCAGGTGTGAGGGCCTGCGCCCTGGAACATACGTGAGAGATAGTGTAAAGGTCAGATTGACAGGTCTTGACAAGAGCTTGGATATGGGGGTGAGAGGGAAGGAGGCAACTTGAGTAAATGGGAGGGTTTGGGGGAAAAGCTAATGAGATGTTCTGGACATGTGGAATTTTAGATGTCCATGGGACATCCAGTCAGAGATGTGTAACAGACAGCTGGAGATGAGAGCCTGCAGGTCGTCAGAGAGGTTAGGGCTGAATACATAGATCTGAAAAGCATTAGCACACAAATAACAGAGAGATGCTAATTGAATCCATGAGAGCAGATGAGATCACCGTCACTCATGACAAGGGAAAAGAGGAGAAGGCTCAGGCCCGCCAGGAGTCTGACAGCCACCCACACATCCTAATACAATGCAGCCAGGCTTTCTCAGCTTAGTATGGGGGCCCAGGTGCTGTGTCAGACAGAAGTGGGCCACGAGGCCTGCTTCTGCTGAGCCCCAGCTTTTGTGGGCCCTAAGGCTTGCGAACACCCAGGGTCAAGCAATCTTGCTTTCTCACTAGCTCATTAGAGCTAGGAAGAGCAGAGGCTCTGAGAAACTTGAGAGGGCAGGCAGCTTGCTACCTTTACTGGTGATAGCTGAGGGGGTAGGCAGAGGTGGTTTGAGATTGGCCAGGCAGGCATTCAGCAGATGAAGAGAGCAGCCTAGAGACGTCCATGCCAAAAAAGGCATGGAGGTTTGGGGGCAGAGAAGAATCAATTTTGGTTCGAGCATGGAGTATGTTGGGGGGCAATAATAAGAGGGAAGACTAGAAGAGTTGGAGTGAAGGGCTTTACCCCATGAACACTGACCTTCCACTGGGAATACTACAGAGAGGATTTCCGTATTGGTTTAGAGAGAATCTCTGTATAAAGAGACAGAGAGACAGGGAGAAGGCGGGGAGGGAGAGAGAATGAGAGATGGGGGGGGGGCATTACATGCATCATCAGATTGATAGAGGGTTAGTCTCACTACTCCTCCCTTCCCTTTTTTAACTGCTGTTACCAGGAAGGTTGTCTAAATGGGGGGAGGGGGGATTTGTATTGAGGAACAAAGGTGATGTGAAAACAAAAGGTAGCTGCATTAAAAACCAAATCACCCCAGATCACCTCCCTCCCTCTCTCCTGTGTGGCCCAGGTGGGAGGCCATGGGTGTGCAACGTCGCATGTGTTGTCAGACTCAGTTGATATGTTGGTTACTTTTGTCAGGGTGCCTGTTTTCCTCTTTGTTTTATTTTTTATTACTATAGGCAGCATTCTGGGTAAGAGAGGGATACGTCTGAAAGTAAGCATTATTCAGAGAGCCAGGAGCCCTAGGCCCAGAACTGGCTGGGCCCTTGTATACCACCTTGTCCAGCTCTCTCATTTTACATAGGAGGAAAGTGATTCTGATCGAGGGGCTCAGGGCAGAAGTGGCCCTGGCTCCCACCCCAGGGAGCAGGCCCTGGGCCTCTGCAGTCAGTCCTGGTTTTCCACATGCAGCCAGCAGGTGTCCACAGTACTGCTTAGAGAACCAGGAAGTTGGGGCCGAGAGCCTTGTTACCTGGGGGTCCTGGCTTACTGGGGCTAGGGGCTGCCCCGAGCCCCTCCCACTCCTCCCTTGGCTCCCATTGATGCTCAAAAAGAAAATCCCATCCAATCAGCTGAGCCAAGGGGCTCCGCCCACACAGGGCTGGGAGCAGCTAGGCTTAAATTGCACCCTTCTGGTTGGGCAGCCATCATTCTTCCCTAGCCTCTATTATTGGCCTTCTGTTTTCTGATCCTGTCGGCTATTTCAAGGGGCCAAGGAAGGGCCTGGCAGAACTTGTCAGAAAGAAGAACATGTCTCCCCTTTCCCTCGGCTTTAATCTGTCATTGAAAAAAAAAATCGAAAGGATTACATTAAAAAAAAATAATTCCTTTTGTTTTTTTTTTCATAACAGATCTTTCCCAATATTCATTCTCCTCCCCCACTCCCTCTAAACCCTGGCCCCCATTCCTATATCCTCCTATCTAAGTGTACCCTCCTAGAGGGTGGGGAGAACAGAGAACATTACAGCAGGAAGTGGGGTGGCAGAAAATGGAATGTCACAGCTAGCACATACCCCAAAACACAGAATGTCAGAGCTGAGACAGAGGGGTCTCAGAATGTACAACATCAGAGCTGGAAGGGCCCTTAGAACAGAGAATCAATGGACCACCACTTTATGATGTGCCAAGCACAGTGCTGGGTACTGGGCATACACAAAGACAAAAGTAAAATTATTCCTGTTGTCAAGAAGCTGCCATTCTATGGGAGGGTTAACATGTAAATAATTAAAGATATTCTCCAACCCCTCCCCAGTACATGGTAAGTTGGTGGGAAGAGCCCTAGGAGGGAATCTAAGAGGCTAAGGTGAAGAGGAGAACATGCCAGGCATGGGAAAAGAGACGGGGACACGGTCTTGTGTATATACATATGTGTATATATATATGAATGTGTATATATGTGTATGTGTGTATATATGTACGTGCATATGTGCATATGTGTATGTGTATATGTATATGTATATGTGTGTATGTTTGTGTGTGTGTATATATGTATGTGCATATATGTGCATGTGTGCGTGCGTGCATGTGTGTATAAAAGCAAGCCAGCCAGGAGAGTGAGGAAAGGGGGTTGGAAGAGGTTGCAAAGCTAGCTTGGGGCTGGGTTGGACAAAGGTTTTAGCTGCCAGACAGAGTTTAGATTTCATCTCACAGGCAATAGGGAGCTATTGGAGGTCCTTTGGTAAGAGGGGGACATCACTTGAGCAGCTTGTGGAGGATGGCTTGGAATGAGGAGAGACTTGAGGCAAAGAGAGCAGTAATGCGGCTGCTGCCACCCTAGTCCAGGAAAAGCCTTGAACAGCAAGTCTAGAGAAGAGGATGGATGTGAGACAGAAACACGGCTTGGCACCCACCTGAGTGTGAGGACAGCTCCAATGTTGTAGACAGTGGTGCCTGGAAAGCTGGCTACTTCCCTGGAGGGTGATAGGGATGTTGAGAAGCTGGCAGGCTTGGGGGGGGCAGGAATGTGTTGGGTGACCAGTCAGCATTCCCACCTGACTTGTCAGAGCTGGATGGAACCTTGGACTCTGGCACATCAGGGCATGTGGCCAAGTGAGCAGAGACATGAGAAAGATCTTCTACTCCAACTGCCTCATTCTTACAGAGCAAGAGACCAAGGCCCCTAGAGAGGAAGTGACTTGGTCACACAGGCAGAATTGGAGGCCAGGTTCCCTTGTCTCCCTATATGACACCACTGCACAGGTAGTAGAAAGCCATAGTAGACTCTTGAGCTGAGGAGCCATGGAATGAAAGAAAATGAGTGTCTGGTCCATGTCTTCTGATCTTGAACCTCTGACATAGAACATTTGAACAAGTCAGATTTTGGTCTTCATTCCATTGTTAGAGCTCCATGGACAGCCAATTCCGAGCTGTCACAATGGAATGTGCAGCTGTCTGGCTTGACTTGGTCGGTCGGAGAGCTCCCAGCACACAGATGGATAAGGAAGATGAGTTCTCGAGGCCAGAGCTGGAGGGGACCTTACGGAGCTAGTGGTGGGCGTGGCTCCCTCGGGGCTCCCATTGGGCCATTGATGGCCAAAGACCAAGGCTCTGAGCTGAACCCTCCACCAAGAGCTTCACTCCCCTCGCCCCCCAACCCCAAGACATTTGATGGACCCTGTTCCATGGGGGCCCTTTCCCCAACTCCACCTTATTTTGCTCATAACTTCCTGCCCAGATTCTTCTCTCTCTCTCTCTCTCTCTCTCTCTCTCTCTCTCTCTCTCTCTCTCTCTCTCTCTCTCTCTCTCTGTTTATCTTTTTCTGTCTCTCTCACTCCCCCCTCCTCTGGTGGACACAGACTCTACTCCCCTTGTTAGGGGATGGCTACCTGACAAAGGCAATGTGGCATAGTAGAGAGCACCACTGGGTCTGAATGCTGGTTTGGCCATTTTTATAACTGGGCAAATCACTCTGCCCCAAACGTAATTTCCCGCCTCTATGCCTTTGTTCATGATACCTAGAGTAGCTTTTCTTTTGTTTTTGTTTTCCTTTTTTCTTTCCCACTTAATATGGAGTAGCTTTTCTGGGCCTCGGTTCCCTCATCTTTAAAATGGGGTCAGTTAACATATGTTCTCGCTATCTTATGGGGGTGTTGTAAAGGAATCATTTTGCAAGCCTCAGGGTCCTTGTTATTATGTTTCCCAGGGATCCCTGCCCAGGACCGTCTCTTGCATGGCTTTCTGAGAGAAGCAGGAGCAGTTCCCTGGGGAGGCCTGAAGCAGATCTTTCCCCCTGTCTCTCCTCTACCCAGGGACCTTTGAGATCTATTGCCAAGAAGGCAACCACCTCCAGGCGGGAATGAGGGCGTCCTACAATGTCTCCAGGTGCCAAGGCAGAAGGTCTGGAGCCCGGCTGCGTTACCAGGCGGTTCGCACCTATTACATCATGGCTGAGGAGGTGGAATGGGACTATTGCCCAGACCGCAGTTGGGAGAGCGACTGGCATAATCAATCAGAGAAGGAGAGGTGAGGAGGCCTGCTGGGAGGGAGGGAGGGAGGAAGTCAAGGCAAACATTTAGGAGGAATCCAAGGCCCAGGGCACAGTGCTGGACTCTGGGTTATAAAGATCTCCTGGCCCTCCCCTCAAGGAGGGGCAGCTAAGGGGCACTGCAGTGCCCAGAATGCTGGGTCTAGAGTCACAAAGAACTGAGTTCAAATCCAGCCTCAGACCCTGAGCAAGTCACTTCCTCTCTGTCTGCCCCAGTTTCCTCCTCTGTAAAATGAGGATCACAACAGCACCTACCTTCCAGGGTTGTTATGAAGATCCAATAAGATAATGTTTATTAAAAAAAAAAAGCACTCAGCCTAGTGCCCAGAACACAGTAGGTGCTATATAAATGTTTGCTATTATTTAATGGGTAGAAGATGTGGGGAGAAGTCACCAAGCTGTGATCTGGGAGAGAGTCATGTGAGTGCCAGGGAGAAGCCAAGCAAAGTACCATGGGAAAGGTGAGGAGGGAGAGGTCACTTCTAGCTGGGGGCTTCATGGAGGAGGGCACCTGGGCTGGGCCTTAAAGCAAGAGAGGGAACATTAAGAAATAGGGAAAAGGCCTTCTAGAGCAACACTTCTTAAACTGTGGGTCACAACCCCATATGGCGTTGCAAAAAATTTGGCAACAGTAAAAGGTTTCTGAATGTGCAACAACCAAAAATTAATTAAAAATCAAATGTCATGAATCCGAAGTGTTTCGGGCAGCACTTGTCCATGTTGTACTGCCGCAACTTCACAGCAGCCCTGGTTCTGAACACACAGCATGTGCGTTTTGCACTGTGTACGCCCTCAGGCCACCAACCAACACTGTGGCCAACTCTAAAAGGGGTCTCCAGTGGAAAAAGTTAATGCAGCCCTGTTCTAGAGAGGAACTGGGGCTCAGAGAGAGGAAGGGACTTGCCCAGAGTGACACAGAGGATCCCAGTTCTAGAGCTGGGGATGGTGGGGGTAGGACCTCGGAGGCTGGTCGGTCCAAATCCCTCATTTTACCTATGGGGAAACTGAGGCCCAGGGGGAGAACTGACTTGCCCAAGGTCACCTATAAGATCCTAGACCTTCAGCTGGAAGGGATCTGAGAGGGCCTCTTGTCCGACCTTCTCATTTTACAGTCGAAGAAACTGAGGCCCAGAGAGCAGAAGTGGCTTGTCCAGGGTTGCACAGGTAGTAAGCGTCTGAGACTGCATTTGAACTGGGTGTTCCTGACTTTAAATCCAGCCCTCACTGCTTCCAGGGTCAGAGCTAAGGATGAAGGAGAGAGAGTGAGGCCAGTCTGGTTGGAGGGTGAGTCCAAGCTAAGCTTGACTTAGAGGCAGGTGGCCAGGTGGATGGAATCAGGAAGACCTACCTAGCTTGGGAGCCTGGGCCAAGTCACTTTGCCTCTTGGTGCATGCACCCTGACAGCTCTGCAGAGCCATAGGGGATCAGCTGCTGCTGTACGTTGGCAGAGGGGTTTTCCACACCAGGAACTCCTCCTATTGCTGTACTCACAGCTCCTCTTCCCTGACTCAAGTCTGGCCCCCGTCTCCACTGGACCTTCCCAGCTGCACAATGCTCTTCCTCTTCCCCAGCTGACTTGCCAGCAGGATTCACTCGGTAGCTGTTCAGACCATCAGTGATATCAAACTCAGAGAAAAGGACCCATTGGGGCCACATGTTGACTTAGAAAACCACAAATTAATATTCTCTACGTTGTGTTGTATTTTTCTTTTGGTGAACATTTCCCAATAACATATGAATCTGATGCAGGTGCTGCTTTGCCACCTCTGATGGAGACCCTTGTTGCCCCCCTCCCTGTGTCTTCATCTTGGAGCAGAGGGGGCGATTGGGAGATTGGGTTTAGATTCCTGGGATGGAGTGACTTCCCCCTCTTTGGAGGCCTTCAAGCATGAGCAGGATGGCCTTGTCTGGGGAGGGCGGGTAGGATAGGAATGGCTTTTGGGGTTTGGGGCCCTTCCAACCCAAGTTCTGGGATCCTCTCTCTTAACTTGCCCCACATACCCACTCAGCTGGCAGATTGTGTTCCTTTCTTCACAACATGTCTTGTCTATGCAGCCATTGCCTGGATTCAGGCCCTCATCACCTCCAGCTTCATCCATCGCAATGGCATCCTAATTGGCCTCCCTGCCTCAGTGTCTACACTCTCTAATCCATTGTGTACACAGCTGCCTGGGTGACAATCGGAAAGCTCAGGTTGGCCATGTCACTCTCCTTCTCAGTGAACTCTGCTGGCTCCCTATTACCTCAAAGATCAAATATTCTGTTGTTCAGTCATTTCAGTTGTGTCTACCTCTCTGTGACCCCATTTGGGGTTTTCTTGGCAAAGATACTGGAGGGGTTTGCCATTTCCTTCTCTAGCTCATTTTACTGATGAGGAACCAGCAGTAAACAGAGTGAAGTGACTTGCCCAGGGTCACACAGCTAGTAAATGTCTGAGGCTAAATTTGAACTCAGGTCCTCCTGATTTCAGGCCTAGCATTCCATCCTTTGAGGCACCTAGCTGCCTCCAAGGCAAACACAGGTTAAGTGACTTGCCCAGGGTCACACAGCTAGTAAATGTCTGAGGCCAAATTTGAACTCAGGCCTTCCTGACTCCAGGCCTGGCACTCTCTCTACCGTGGTGCCACCTAGCTGCCCCAAGATCAAACATAGTCTTTATTTAAGGCCTTTCACAACCTGTACTAGCTTTCTGGTCTTCTTACATGTGACTCCCCTTCACACATTCTATGGTCCAATCAGACAGGCCTATTTGCCATCTCTGGTCTCCTCACCTTTGCACTGAATGTCCCCCCATGCTTGGAATACTTCTCAATGCCTGGCACAAAGTAGGTGCTTAATAATTACCTGTTGTTCTGCCAACTATTGCCTCTCCCTCCCACTCATCTTGAGTCTCTCCCTCTATCCTGGCCCCTTCCCCACTGTTTATAAATCTGCCTCTGTTTCCTTGCCTCTGTCTTCCTCCTCCCTTTCACTGCCAAACTTGCAGAAAGGATCGTGTCTCCTGTTGCTGCCATTTCCCCGCCAATGGGCTGCCTTCCCCCCTTGGCAATTTGGCTTCTGCCCCAGCCTCTCTCTGATGCTTGCCAGCGATTTCCCACATTGGAAATCCAATAGGCTTTTCGGAGTCTCCATCTTCCTTGATCACTGTCGCTCCTGGCACTGTCAACCACCCACGTGCATTGATTTTTGTGTGCCATTGTTATGCCCTGCTTCTCCCACCTGTCTGGTGGCTTCGCTGTGATGTGGGGGGAGGGGGGATCCCCAAGCCAAGGCTCTGCCTTGGGGCTGCTTTATCTTTGGAGACCTGCTCGGCATTCCTGGATTCAGTTAGCTACAGTCTGTGCTGCAGCCAAGCGTAGAGTCTAGCCCTCTCTGGGCAGTGTACCCTAGTGGAGAGAGTGCTCACTTTAGAGTCAGGAAGGCCTGGATTCAAATCTCATCCCCAATATTTACTCCCTGCGTGATCTTGGGCAGCCTCTCTGGCCTCAGCTTCCCTATTCCTAACACAGGAGGGCAGGGGGGGTGAACTCTGGGTTCTGTGAGGTTCCTACCGGCTCTATATGTATGATCCCATGATCATTGGCCTCTCCTCCCCGTAGATTGGTCAAAGTATTTTGCCCCTTCTCCAGACTCGCCCATTTTTGTTCAAACCTGACTGGCCCCTGACTCTTCACTTCCTCTCCCTCCTCAGACCCAATTAGCTCTTTTTTTTTTTTTGGCTAGGCAATGGGGTTAAGTGACTTGCCCAGGGTCACACAGCTAGTAAGTGTTAAGTGTCTGAGGCTGGATTTGAACTCAGGTCCTCCTGACTCCAGGGCTGGTACTATATCCACTGCGCCACCTAGTTGCCCCCCAATCAGCTCTCAAGCTCTGTCAATTCTGCCTTCTCAACATTCTCAGCATCTGTCCCCATAGCTCTGCTCACCACCAGTTAAGCCACTGCCTTAGTGCGGTTGGTCATCAGCCTGCCTCAGAGCCTATCCAAAGAGCCTCCTAACTGCTCTGCCTAACAGTCTCTCCCCTTCCCCCTACTCAGCTGCCAAAGTAATGCTCTCAAGATCCAAGTCTGATCATGTCACTCCCCTCCTCAAAACTCTTCCATAGCTCCCTAGTGCCTCTAGGAGGATTTAAAAACTCCTTGATCTGGTATTTGAATCCCAGTCTGAGCCACTATGGAGCATTCTTTACTGTGTACCATGCTGCCTGAAGCTGCCTAATTCTGCTATGTTGTTTGGCCCACATCCCTCCGTGTTATCCCCAAGGGCAGCATGAACAGCTCTGTCAGAGTCTAAGGTGCACAATGTTTACAGGGTTTCCCTGATTTCCTGGGCTACTGACCTTCTCAGAAAGGAAATGAGGCAAGTGTAGCATGACTTGTTCTTGGTGAAACCGTGTCATGTCAGCTCTTGGTGTTAACATTTCCCTCTCTAACTGCCCAGATAGCGGCTCTTTAATAATACATCTTCAAATTCTGTCAGAAAGCAAAGCCGCGTTCACTGGCTGCCTTTGGGGACTCCCGCATCTTATCTTTTAGAAAACCGGCCTATCAGCCCTCCTCCAGTCTTGTGACCCTTCAGTGCCCTCCGCCACCTTTCAAAGAGAACCAACCAATATTATCTACTCACTTAGTGAGAGTTTCACCTCCCTATTGACTATTTTTGTTTTGGGCTTCTCAGGCTGAAGATAATTTTCCTTGGCAGGAGAAAAAAAATATGGGAAGCACTGTGGCATGGTAGATTGAGCTCTGGACTTGCAGTTAGAAAGACTTGTGTTCAAATCCTGCCACAGATACTTATTAGCTATGTGACCCCTGGGCAAGTCACTTCCCTTCCCTTGTCCCTGTATGGGACCTTAGGCCAATCCCTTCTCCATCCTGGGCCTCAGTTTCCTCCTCTGAAAAAAGGAAGGAGTTGGACTGGATGGCCTCTGAGGGCCCTTCCAGCTATAGAGCTAGGAGCCTATGAGTGACCTTGGACAACTCCCTTCCCCTCCCCAGGCCTCAGTTTCCTTTTCTGAAAAAGGAGGCAGTTGGACCACATGGCCTCTGAGGGCCTAGGATTCTGAGTCAAGTAGTTGTGCCGTGTCTCTTTGACCCCACTCCTTCCTGCACTCTGCTTCTCCATTCCTTCTGAGCTGTGCTTAGCCTTTGGCAGGCCTGGGCCATGCTTTTGCACTCAGCCTCAGCCACCTGCCTTCACTTCTTTTTCCAAGATGTGAGTGGTAAAAGATCTAGGCTAGGGGCCGAGTTCCCTGAGCCTCCACGCCAGGCTTCCCCCAGCTCCCCTTTTATGTGTCATTGGAATGGTGCCTGTTTAGGTCTTCAGGACCTCATTCCCACATGCCTCCCATGCCTCCCATGCCTCCTGGGCAGAATTCTCCTGTGGAGTTGTAGGCCACAGGGAGCCTTTCTATCCTAGGCTTTTTCTGCAGCCTTCCCAAACCTGTGGTACATGTCAACATTTACTACCCTGTGATGGTGTTTCTCGTTCCTCTGTCAAGCAGCTGTACTTTGGGAATCTGTATAGCCATCTCAGTCCATGGCTTCAAGGTTTCTTGCTCCATCCCTTCTTAGCTGTTGTCCTTCTGTCAATTACTGGGCCTCTCTACCGCCATTTTGCCTAGGTTGGTGGATAGCTGCTACACTCTATGGCAATTAACTTGGCAGACACACGTAGGGAGTTTGCTCTTTCCTCCACTTTCAGTTTGAAGTCTTCATGAATGGATTCACGGCACTCCAGACGAATATATACATATATATACATACACGTATACATACACATGCATATACATACATACACACATGTGCATATACATATATGTATGTATGTATGTATGGACGTGTGTATGTATATAGATATAGTTAGGTGCACTCTGTTGTTGGCCAAAACCCATCATTCTTTCATCTACAAATACCAACCCTGCTCATAGAGGACATCTTAACCAGCCATTCACTTACCAAGTCCTATTTTCTCCTCAGAATGGGCTTGACTTCAATCCATTAATAGTAATGAGAAAAACACCACCTGTGCCCCAAGGTCTTGAGTCTCTTGCCAAGGACGTTAGCAAAACTCGAGTCTTTCCAGTGGTTTCACCCTCCTGAGGGGCCAGAAATGGGCAATGTGTGAGTGAGGCTTGATGAATCTTGGGAGCTCGGCACCATGTCCAAGGTGCATGTCTTCTGCCTCATACAGATGGATATCTCACCCCATAGCTTCTCCCCACCTGCCCATTGCCACTCCTTGGAGGACCAGCAGGGTCGAACTTCCTTGTCTTTGGGAAATTCCAACTCGTTAATACAGCCCTATGTAGCCTATGCTCCTTCTCTGGCCTCTTTTCGTCCCCGCCATGTTCTTCCATCCTCCAGCCTCTGGATGCAAGTTGGCATTGCTCTTTGGCATTTTATTTGGCTGGTGAAGCCATCCTTCCCATTTCTAAGGAGATTTCAATTCTTTGGGCTCCAGTGGGAAGTGGACAGGTGTTTCCTGAGGCTTTGGGCCTTGGGCATCTGTAGTAATACAGAAGCATTCCCTGTAGGTCACCGCAATATACCCCCTGCCCTCAGGGTGTGCTGAAAGCCAGATTCTCTGCTCTCATGGAGAACTGCATGTCAAAGTGCTTTTTGTTCTTGCTGGGGGCTCCGACTTGCCCAAGAGGACACACCCAATGAAGAAGCAGCAGGCAGAACCAGGAATTAGGCCTGTTTCCTGCCTCCTGGTCTGCCACTCTCACTACTTAGAATTACAGATTTCAGAGCTTTCAGTCTGACTTCCTGCCTTTGGATGAATATAGTGTTATCCCCATTTTCCAGGTGAGGACACTGAGGCTCAGAGGGCAGAGGTGACTTGCCCAAAGTCACTCGCTGAATATGTTGCAGAGCCAGCTCTCCTGGCATACAGGCCAAGGTTCTTCCCACTGTGTTGGCTTGCCTTCCCTGGACATGGGGAGCAGTTAAGAGGGGCAAGTGGCAGGAGACACTGATGAAATCAGGTCAGGCAGCAGCTGCAACCGGTTCTCTGTTTCCCTGGTCATGCAATGAGACCATCAGAGTGTACCTATAGGAAGGGGAGGGTCACTTCTCTGTGCCTCAGTTTTTCCATCTATGGTATGGGACCTTCCTTACATCTAAAAATGAGCTTGTACCCTCCCCCCCCACCAACCTTGTCCCCTAAAGGGATGGACTGTGCCCAGAGGGCCAGGGACTGATGATGTCTTTTCTGGATTTCCCAGCTATGGCCATGTCTTTCTGAGCAATGAAGATGGGCTCCTGGGTTCTCGGTATAAGAAAGCTGTGTATAGGGAGTATTTCGATGGCACCTTCAGGACTCCTCGACCAAGGACTGGCCCAGAAGAGCACTTGGGAATTCTGGGTAAGCATATCAACTTGATCTCCCCTCTTTATCTATTCCCTTCTGTCTCCTCCCTCATCCCTAGAACCTGGCAGCCTGGTCTGGGACTAGGAGCCTGTGCCCAAGATGGTGGGTGGTGGGCAGCGGGTGGCGGGCAGTGGTGAGGTGGTGAGGAAAAAAGGACAGAACCGGATCAAAGCACAGCTGGCTTCATCTAAGGCCAAATGGGGTCTGGTGCCAACCCTCACACCTAGTTAAGAGGAAAGGGTGTCTGAGATTTGTTCAGAGGCAGCTGGACACCTACTCAGCTAGGTGGCTCATTAAATAGAGCGCCAGACCTGGAGTCAGGGAGACACGAGTTCAAATCCAGCCTCAGACACTTATTAGCTGAGGGAACCTGGGCAAGTCACTTAACTTCTGTGTGCCTCAGTTTCCTCATTTGTAAAATGGGGACCATAGTAGTACCTACCTCTCAGAGTGGTTGTGAGGGTCACATTGGATAATATTTGTAAAGTACTTAACACAGTGCCGGGCACCTAGTAGGTGCTTCATAAATCTTCCTTCCTTCCTCCCTTCCTCCCTCTGACCAGTGCCACAGAGTTGGACCATACATTGGCTGCTCAGCCCCTCTTCTAATTTGGCACATATGCTACTGCTTACTATTATTTTTGAAAGCACATTTCATTAAAGGCTTTTGATATTACGCCAGTCATTTCTGGAAATGCCTCTCCTCACCCCCCCACCCCCACTCCAAAGAAACAAAGAAAAACAGTTACAAAAACCATTTGCTCTGGTGACCTTTGGCCTCACCGTGCAGAGGGAGCTGGTCTGGACCCCATCAGTTACTGAGTTTGGCTTCCTTCTAATAATAACAGCAAACGTTTATTAAGTACCTACTATGTGCCAGGCCCTGTGCTGAGCACTTTTTACAAATATCCCATTTGATCTTCACAATCACCTTAGGAATTAGCTACTATTATTATCCTCATTTTATAACTTGAAGGAAATGAGGTACACTGTTTAAATGACTTGTCCAGGGTCACACAGCTAGAAAGTGCCTTGAGTCGAGTTTTGAGCTCAGGACTTTTTGACTTCAGGCCCAGGTCTTTGGCCATGGAGCTACTTAACTGCCAAGGAATGTTTAGTGAACATCTACTAGAGAATTATAATGACAACTAGCATTTATTAAGTACTGACTATGTGCCAGGCACTGTGCTAAGCACTTTTTTACACTTTTATGATCTCATTTCATCCTTCTGACACCCTGGGGAGGTGGCTGTGTTATTATACGTATTTAACAGTGAACAGCACTGAGGCAAACACAGGGTAAGCGATTTGGCGCGCAGCACACGGCTAGCAAGGATCTGAGGCCGGACTTGACCTCCGGCCTTCCTAATGCCAAACCCAGAGTTCTATTTAGTGAGTCACCTAGTTGCCTACTAATTTTTAATGAACATTTAGTAGATATCTACCACAGAATTATGATGACAACTAGCATTTATTAAGCACCTACTATATGCCAGGCACTATATTAAGCATTTTTTTTTTAGTAAATATGATTTCATTTGATCTTCATAACAACTATCATTATCCCCATTTTACAGATGAGGAAACTGAGGCAAACAGAGGTGAAGTGACTTGTCTAGGGTTCCACAGCTAGGAAATGTCCGAGGCTAGGTTTGAAATCGGGCTGTCCTGACTCGAAGCCCGGCGCTTTCTCTTTCCACTGAGCCTCCAGTTCATTAGTCTTTCCTTGGCCCTCCTGCACTTAGCTCAGGGCCTGGCAAATACTTGATAAATGCCTGTCGATGATGCTGCTCAGCTCATTTCTCCCTTGTTTACTTGAGAACTCTCACTTGCTACAGTTATGAAAGGTTATTTTCTCTAATTTTTTAAGATGTGACCTTTTCTATCCATGTTTCCTCTCCCTTTGGACACAAGCGTTATCTCCATAGCCATTTTAAGAAGTGTACAGTAAGTACTGGGTGACGTGACTGGAATCTGAAGGATTTTGCTCTCCTTGCCCCATGCCTGAGCGGGGTGGGGTACCCTCCCACTAAATGTAGGGACAAGATTCTAGCCCTAGTCCTTCCCTTGTCTGTTTCTGTGTGGCCCAGGTTTTTTAGGTTTTTTTTTTACACTTTTATTAAGTTTTATTGTATTTAAAAATATAAAAACCAGGGCATCTAGGTAGCATAGTGGATAGAGCATCGGCCCTGAAGTCAGGAGGACCTGAGTTCAAATCCAGCCTCAGACCAAACACTCGACATGTACTAGCTGTGTGACCCTGGGCAAGTCACTTAACCCCGACTGCCTAAAAATAAAAAAATATATATGTAAATATAAATATACATAAATGTAAATATATAAATTTATATATATGTATGTGTGTGTGTATATATTATAAGAGAAAATCTGGATTTATTTATAAATATATATATATATATATATATATATATATATATTTATGTATAAACCATTCAGAGCACTTTGACCAGAAGGATTTGGCCAGGCCATAGTTTGCTGACCCCTGCACCCTTACTATGAGGCCTGGCAGCTGGATGCCCATTTAAAGCTGCTCCTCAATTCTCAATTTTTCTTTCTGATACATAAATGTAGCCCTGTCCTCTTCTCCCCCTCACTAGGACCACTGCTCCGGGGAGAGGTTGGCGACATCTTGACGGTGGTGTTCAAGAACAATGCCAGTCGTCCCTACTCTCTTCATGCCCATGGGGTACTGGAGCAGGAGGCGGGCTCAGTGCAGTCTGCGGAGCCCGGTGAGTAGGGCTATTCTGGCGGGGGGATTTTGGGGGGCTTTATACTGGCAGTACTCTTGTTTTGGTCCCCTGGCTTTCTTAGGCCCCTTACCCCTTTCTCAGAGACCAGGATACTGGTCAGGACTGGGCCTTAGAATTTGTTCCTCAGTGCAGGATCTCAAGTCAGTTGAATCATAACATGGTTGAGGCCAGAGTTGTGGGTTCATGTCTGTGATAGGCCACGTAGCTTAATTTAGAGTAACGTTTGTTTATGTGGCTATAGGCTAAATCTTAACCCTTAGACAACCGTCTTAGCCTGGAGAGGAAGCCTAGTGGGTAGAGTTAAGGGACCTATGTTCAAATCCAGGAAGTTATATAACCTCTCCAGGCCTTGATTTCTTCATCTGTAAAATGAGGGGGTTGGATTTGATGTCCTTAAATATCCCAGCTTTGAATATGTGATCCAATAACTGATTGCTAGGATAAACTTTCAAATTCCTTCAGATAGAAGATATTACTAAGGTACTTACAGTCTGAGACTGGGAGGACATAGTCCCTTCTGGGATCTCCAGTGGGGAAAAAGGGATTTGATTTTCCCTGCCTGGATTCAGAGAGGAGGAAGGTGAACAGCAACCGATTTAGCTGGTGAGGGCTTCAGAAAAAACTCCCTGGTAATTGGAACTCTCTCCAAGTATAGTGGGCCAGCTTAGGAGATTGTAGATTGCTTATCTTGGAAAGTTCTCAAGTGGAAAAACAGTTGTTCTGTCAGACACATTGGAGAATGGCTTTCTGCCAAGGTCTGCATTGGACCTGAGGCCACCAGGAGGCCTGACCAACTCTGAGATCCCAATATGCCATGAGATGTTCCCGAATGAAATAGGCACTATAGGGCATAGCCCCTGCTCAGCCAACTTTAGGGGCCCCCATCATCTCGAGGGTCCAATAGGAAGCCCTTTCTTTGGCGTTTCTAGCCTCTCACATCCTGGTCCCTTCCAAGATTTCCAGCCTTTATACAACTTGCCTACTCTGTGCATTATCCAGTCATTCTGGCCTGTCTGCTGGTCCTCACATATGGTGCACCAGCCCTCGTTTCTGGGTCTTTGTGCATGTCTGTAATATACTCCCTCCTTGCCTCCACCTCTTGGAATCCCTAAGTTCTTTAAAGGCTCAGCATCAACGCCACCTTCTGCTGGAGGTCCTCCCTGGTGTCCCCAGCCATTAGTGCCTCCTCCTTGTAGATCACCTTCCATTCTCTGTCTCTCTCTCTGTCTGTCTGTCTGTCTGTCTCTCATACATACATACATACAGACATCATAATACATACATATGTATATCTATGTGTACATGTTCTCTCTACCATTAGAATGTAAGTGCCTTGAGGACAGGGGCTGTCTTTCCTTTCCCTATGGCCTGGATCAGTCAAGGTAGGCTTCCTGGTGGCCATGGGCCTTGAAGGACAAGTACAATTTGGAGAGAGGGAGAGTGGCCAGAAGGGCCTTCCAGAAGAAGAAAGGACATGATGGCAATGAACCTGGCTTGGTGGAAATTGTTTCAGAGTCCTGGCCTTGGCCCAGGGTGGCCTGGCTTTGGAAGGACCTGCTGGTCAAGCTTTGCTGGAGAGTTCTTCCTGCCTCTCTGCAGGTGAGGTGATCATATACCAATGGAGCATCCCTGAACGATCTGGCCCTGGGCCGAATGACTCAGCTTGCATCCCCTGGATCTATTACTCCAACATGGATCCCATCAAGGTAGAGTTTGGCCTGGCTGCCTGTGAGACTGCGGCAGGCCAGGGGTGTATGAGCCCTCCTGATCATGGGCTTAGGGGACCAGCCTTGGGGAGTCTGGCTATTCTGGATTCCAGTGTTTTCTTCTGCATTAAAGAGCTGGATCTCGGGCATCTGGAGACCTGGCTTCTCTTCCCAGCTCTGCCTCTGACTTGGGAAGGTTCCTGGCCTTAGTTCTTCAAGCAGGGTGAGAGGCTGCGCCCCTCTTAGAGCAAAGCCTGGCAGACCAGGCCAGGGAAGCACAGGACCAAGAACCAGAAGGGCCCCCTCACGTGACTTGATGCAGAGAATCCTAGGCCTAGATCTGGCAGCACCCTCAGAGGCCAGCCCACTCACTTCACAGAGGAAGACAACCAAGGAGGTTGTACCCATATATGATCCTAGAGCTTCAGAGGACCTTGAGGGCCATCTGGTTCAACCCTCTCATTTTACAGAAAAGGAAACTGAGGCCCAAGGAGAAGTGACTTTCCCAAAGTCACTCATAGGATCTTAGCTCTAAAGCTGATAGGGCTCTTAGAGGCCATGAAATCCAACCCCCTCATTTTATAGAGGAGGAAACTGAGGTCCAGAGAGAAAGGTGCTTGCCCAAGGGCATGCCGAGAGTGAGTAGTAGCCCCCACTTGTCCCAAGTTCTCCTGTTCCCCTCCAGACCTGAGGGGTGAGGGGCACCCCCAGCCCTCTTACTTTTCTCTTCCAGGATATGTACAGTGGCCTGGTAGGTCCCCTGGTCATCTGCCGGAAGGGGACACTCAAGGCCACAGGGGCCCGAAAGGATGTGGACCGGGATTTTGCCCTACTGTTCCTGATCTTTGATGAGAACCAGTCTTGGTACCTAGAGGAGAACGTGGCAGCTCATGGTCCCCAAGATTCAAGCCACAGAAACCTGGAAGATGAGACTTTCCTAGAAAGCAACAAGATGCACGGTTTGTGGGCCCCAGGGTGCGCAGTGGAGGGTGGGGCCTGGCAGGGAGAGGACCCTTCTGTGCTCCCTGGTCTTTCATCAGGAGGCCTGGCTTCCCTTCACAGCTTGCATCCTTGAGGCCTAGCTCAGGTCCAGCTGCCTCATGCCCAATCATGCACAGTAAGCAGGGAGCTGCAGGAGGACACAGGTGGAAAAGATCTCAGTCCCAAAGTGTTCAAGCTGTAAGGGTCCTTGGGGCCAGCTAGTCTAATCCACTCATTTGACAGAGGAGGAAACTGAGGCCTGGGGAGGGGAAGGAAGTTACCCAAGGTCACACATGGGCTCCCAGATCGAGGGCTGGAAAGGTCCTTGGGAGCCAGCTAGTCCAAATCCCTCTCATTACAGAGGAGGAAACAGAGGCCCATGGAGGTCAGGGGACTTGCCCAAACAGCTTCATAAGCTACAAAGCTCAGATTAGAACCCAGGTCTCATGATTCCCAGTCCCATTCTCTTTCCACTGGGCTGTGTCTCACTACCATGTTGTATGGCCGATGCCGGAAGCTGTGGTGTATAGAGAGGAATAAGTCTGCCCTCAGAGCTTAGAGTCTGATTGGGGAAGAAAGGGGAGAAGATCAGACAACAAGGGATGGGGGTGAGGGGCCTCATGAGTAATGGCCTCTTGAATGAATGAATGAATGAATGAATGAACAAACCCTGTGGACCAAGCACTATGCTAAGTCCTGCCCTAAAGCAGGGCAGTCCCTGTCCTCATCAAAGGACTTCGACACTGCCATTATCTGCAGGAGAGAGAACACCCGAAGGGTGGTTATGGAAGGGAGTTTTGGTCTGGGGGGGGGTCACAAGGATGATGCCACCCATTGGGCATCTCATTGACATGGCCCTTCCCAAAGTGATGCTAGTGTTGTTTGATTGTTAAGCATAGAAAGGGTAGCACTGATGTGATTAGAAGAGGCCTTTAAGACCCAATAATGTGGTGAGGAGGAAAAAACACCAGATTTGGATTCAGAAGGCCTGGGTTCAAATCCTGGCTCTGCCACTTCTTACCTGTACGAGACCCTTTCTCTGGGCCTCAGTTTCCTCCTTTGTAAAATGAAGGGGTTGGACTGGATGACTTCTGAAGGGCCTTTCTAGCTCTAAATCTATGGTCCCCATTTTGCAGATGTGGCAACTGAAGCTCAGAGGTATTGAGGGACTTAATCAATTTCACACAGCAAGAAATAACAATTGGGATTTGAATCTATATTCTTTGACTCTAAATCCAATGTTTTGCTGCCCCAAGAGGTAAAGAGTTGGTCAGGGCATTCATTCATTCATTCATTCATTCATTCATTCATTCATTCATTCATTCATTCATTCCATTGACCAACCATATATTGAGTGCCTGTTCTATGTAAGGGTCTGCATTAGGTTCCATGGAGGGGCAAGGCCTGAATACACGCAGAGAAGGGGAGGGGTATTCCAACCTTCTGTGTGTAGGGTGACCCCCTGACTGAAGTATGTCAGGGAATCATTGGAGATCAGGCTGGAAAGTAGGCTGGGGCCAGCCTGTTTGAAGGGCTTTGAATTCAATTTGACTCGATTCAACAGTTCAAGGCACTGGCGAACCAAATGTACAAAGGAGACAAGCCCTGCCCTCAGCCAGCTTACCTTCGATAGGGGGCAAGGGTGAGTGTGAGGCAGGAAGAACTGAGGAGAGACAATGTCCATGGCCTGCGGGGGCTGGGAAGGTGCCACCTCTACAGGGGGTAACTGGCAGCTAAGCCTTGCAGGAACACCAGGATTCTGAGGCAGAGCGAGGGAGGAAGGGAGGGCACTCCCGGCATGGGGCGTGGTGTGCAGAAGTGCATGGAGGTGGGGAATGGCATGCTTGTGGAGTTCAGGGAATGTCTACTAGTTTAGTTTGGCCTGATCCCGGCTCCTGTGAAGGGGAGTAATGTAAGACAGAACTCTGAGGCAGGCCCGAGCCCAGCTGTGGAGAGTTCAGTTCCACGTTCAAGAGCTTCTGTTTGACCAGCATCAAAGTGTTTGACCAGGGATAAAGTTGGATGCGGATCAAGGGGATGAGTCTGGTGCTTGCTTTGGGAGTGTGTTAACTAAAAATAGGCCCATCAGTTTGGTGGCAGCATGGAGGATGAAATAGGAAAGAGCAAGGCTGGAAGCAGTTAAAACCAATTAGGAGGCAAGAGGTGGTAAGTACATGAACTGTGGGAGGAGAGAAGGGGACAGATGTAAGAGATGCCATTGGTGGCGGCTCACCAAGACTCCCTGGAGCCACAGAATAGCAGTTGGTCTTCTGGTCCAACTCGCCCGGGGTTGGATGGAAAAGAATCTCCCCAGTAATGTACCTGACAAGTGGTGTTTAATTGGCTGCTAATTGGCTGGGGAGGGGCAGGAGAGGAGGGAGAAGAAGCCGGCAAAGAGGGCTGAGTTTCTAAGTGTGGACCTGGTGGCTGGGACGCTCCCTGCTGGGAAGGCTACAGGGAAGGCAGCTTTTGGGGCAGGCTGCCAGGCACAGAGCTGGCTCTTTCCCCGGTAGCCCAGTAGGTATGGGGAGTGTTAAAAAGAAGCAGCACAACATGTGGGGAAGAGCATTGGGCTTGGAACGAGAAGGCCCGGCTTTGAGTCACTGGTGGCTCTGCCACTGACTAGCTACAAATCGCTTCCCCTCTTGGAACCTCATTTTCCCATTTGCTAAAATGGAACTACAGGTATCCCTTCTATGTCGCGGGGGTTAGGGGCACAGTGCCCCTGCGAGCTGGAAAATCCACCTAAAATGTTTCAGCTCTCCCTTTGTAGCAGAGAGGAAGTCTGAATTTTTTTCTTTTTCTCTTATGGGGCGTTTACAGTACCTTCTTGTATAATTTGGATTAAGTATGGGGTCATAGGCTCTGTGTCATCCGCTGGCCTTAGCCTGTCATCTGCAGCTTCTGCAAAACTCCCCAAGAATTCCCATTTAATTTCTTATGCCTACCCACGATATATTGAAGCCACAATGGGGAAAGTGGTGACGTGGATGGGATGTCCTTCTGACGGCTGGGGTGAGACAACAGAGAAGTTCCTTACTCGGCAATCATTTGTGAGGAACTGACTGTGTGCCCCGTACTTGGCATTGGGAGTACAAAGAAAAAATGAAACAATTTCTACCCTCAAAGAGCTTACATTCTGTTAGGGGACACAATACAGATGTATATGATACATGTGGCACATACAAAGGAAATATAAGGTAACTTCAGGGCAGGGACATTGGCATCTGGGGGATCAGAGAAGGCTTCATGTAGAAGGGGCTATTGGAGCTGAGCTATGGAAGATGCTTGAGATTTTAAAAGGTGGTTTTGAGGAGGGAGTGCACTCCAGGCATGGGGTACAGCATGGGCAACCACATGGAGTCAGGAGATGAACTGTCTCAGGTGAGGAACCGTAAGGCTGGTTTGGCTGGCCCATAGAGTACATGAAGAGGAGGAATGTGTAACAGAGGGAGACTAATGGGCTCACTACTCCAGAGCTGGAAGGGACCTTGGACCTGGGCCCTTGGACCATCTAGCCCAACACCCTCTTTATAAAAGAGAAACTGAAGCTCAAAGAGGCTCTCAGAGAGCTCCCAGTGGAGCTGGGATTAGAACCCATCCACTTTGACTCCCTGCCACTGTGTTACTCCAATGTGGTTAGAGTCAGGTTGTGAAGGGTTTAAAATGCCCAAGAGAGTGCAATCTTCGAGGCAATAGATGCCACTGAGATTTCTCAGCAGATGAGTGGAATGGCCCCCTCTATGCTTTGGGATTATCGCTTTGGCAGCCACGTGGAAGATGGATCAGGCAGAGAGGCCTGAGGCAGGGAGGCTGTAGTCTAGGCCAGGGATGGGGAGGGTCAGGCCTTGAGTGGTGGTTGTGGGAGTAGAGGAGGGGAACCTATGCCAAAGATGTTGGGGAGGCAAAGTGGGTGACAAGCTGTGTCTGTGTGTCGGGGCGGGGGAAAGCAGGAGTCAAGGCTAATTCCAAGGTCAGTGTTGGAAGAACAAAAATCGGGAGGTTTGGGGAGAAGGAACGAATTCTGATTTGGATTTGATGAGTTTGCCCATGGGCCATTTGTCTTTCATCGTCCTTCATTCTCAAAGATGACACCATGGGGTGATGGGAGAGCAGTGCTCAGGACCAAGACTAGGGCTGGCTATACATGGTTTTAGAAGCCATCGAGGTAGATAGTAATTGAATATATGAGAGCTACTGAGATCACTGAAAGAGAATGAAAATGAGAGGGCCCACGATCGAGCCTTGGGGGATACCCACAGTTACAGGGCACGGCAGGGGGGACAATCTTGCAAAGGAGACTGAGGGAGAACAGTAAGGCAGGAGGAGAAGCTGGAGAGATTAGGGCCACCAAAGAACAGAGAGGGGAGAGTTTCCAGGAGGCGCCAAAGGTGGAGAGAGGGCAAGAAGGCTGAGCCTGGAGAAGAGGCCTCTAGATGTGGCAGCTTTGGAGAGAGCCCGGTCTGCTGAATGATGGTGACTGAAGCCAGTCCACAAAGGAGTGACGAGGGAGGGGAAAGGAAATGAAGGCAACAAGTATAGATTTTGGAGAGGTTTCACGCAGACCATGTTGTAAGCTCTAGAACACTGGAGACACATGAGCCATTATACAAAATCCTTGGCCAAGAGGGCTGGGATATTGTGACGGTGTGTGTCTGAGGCAGACGCCCCCAGCCACGTGTGGAGGATGGAGTCGAGGGCACAGGGAGTCTGGAACGGTCCAGATGTGAGTGGATGGATGGCGGGAGAGGCAGCAGGAGTGGAGAGAAGAGGATGAACAGCAAAGCTTTTCTTCCCCCTTTGCAGCCATCAATGGGAAGTTATATGCCAACCTTGGGGGACTGACCATGTACCAGGGAGAGCGAATAGGCTGGTACATGCTGGCCATGGGACAGGATATTGACTTGCACACTGTCCACTTCCACGCAGAGAGCTTTCTCTACCAGGTGAGTGGGGCAGGGCTTGGGAAGAGGTCATAAAGTTGGTGGCGGGAGGGCAAAGGGAAGATGAGGGAACAAAAGGGTTGTCAACTGGCCCATGGCCAAAGGAGAAGGATGCTTACTGGGCCCTGGAGCCCAGCCCTTCTTGCTCTTGTGGGTTTGGAATAGAAACATATACAGGATAAATTTAAGGTCCTGCATTTGGATTCAAAAGAGCAATTTCATAAGCACAGGCTAGAGAGCAGTTTATGTAGGAGGGGGGGATAGATCTGAGGGGTCTTAGTGGACCACCAGCTGAGCAAGTGAACAGTGTGATGTGGCACCCAAAAAAAAAGTTACTTAGGCTGCATTCAGGGAGGCCTGGTAGCCAGAAGGATGGAGATCAGAGTCCTGTTGTACACTATTGTGCTTCATCTACATCTAAACGGGGACATTGAGAAACTGGAGAGCTGCCCAAGGAGAGCAGCCAGGCTGATGAGAAGATTGGAGAGCATGCTGTGTGAGGATTGGCTGAAGATCTGCGGATTTGGAGCCTGAAGAAGGGGTCTGGGGGGAGGGGATGCACATGATGGTGGAAGGGGGACTAGCCTCATTCTGCTTGGCCCCAGGAGGCAAAACATGGAATGACAGGGAGGCATATTTAGAATGTCAGGAAAAAAGTGTGTGTGTGTGTGTGTGTGTGCTCAAGAGTGTATGTGTGTATATCTGCATGCAAGCATGTGAGTATGTGTGTATATATGTCTGTGTGGGGGTGTCTGTATATCTGTGTATGAGCATATGAGTGTATGTGTCTATGTATGTTTGTGTGCACTTGTGTTTCTATGTGTCTCTGCGTGTCTGTATCTGTGTGAATGTGTGTCTCTGTGCTTCTGTGTGAATCTCTCTGTGTTTCTGTATGTCTATGTTTATGTCTGTGTGTATGTCTGTGTTTCTTTGTGCATCTCTGATTGTATCAATATATGTGTGTCTCTGTGTGTATATCTATGCAAATGTCTGGAAATGTGTGTCTGTCTCTTTGTTTCTGTGCCTGTGTGTTTATAAGTGTCTATGTGTTTGTGTGTATCTGTGAACATGTGTGTCTGTGTTTCTTTTTGTGTGACTGTGTGTTTCTCTTTATGTCTCTGTATGTCTGTGTGTTTTTGTGTGTCTACATGTATCTGCGAATATGTGCCTGTGTGTCTGCGTTTCTGTATATATCTTGTGTATCTGTGTGTTTCTTTGTGTGTTTGTGTCTGTATGTCTCTGTATACGCCTGTCTATATGTCTTTTTCTTTGTGTGTGTTTCTGTCTTTGTATGTATGTATATCTTTATGTGTTTCTCTGTGTGTATCTGTATAAGTCTATGTGTTTCTGTGTGACGTGTATGTGTCAGTATACATGTCTCTGTGTTTGTGTTTTTATCTGTGTGGGTCTCTGTGTATTTCTGTTTGTATATTTATGTGTTTTTATGTGTGTCTATGTGAATATGTATGTGTCTGTGTCGTATATGTATGTGTATTTTTGTATGTCTATGGTTTTCTCTTCATGTTTCTGTGTATCTATGTGTATTTTGTGTGTTCATATGTATCTGTGTTTGTGCCTCTGTGTGCATTTCTCTGTGGACTTTGTGTGTCTATGTATGTGTCTGTGTGTTTATATATCTTTATATGTATCTATGTGTCTCTCTCTGTATATTTGTATGTCTTTATGTATTTCTTTATATGTATCTGTTTCTGTTTATGTGTGTCTATGTGAAAGTGTGGATATGTATCTGTCTGTTTTCCTTTGTGTCTCTCTGTGTGTGTCTGTGTGAATATTTGTGTGTCTCTGTGTGTCTATGTATGTCTGTGTGTTTGTCTCTATGTATTTCCTGGGTGTTTGTGTGTCTATGTACATCTCTGTGTGTCTATATCTGTCTCTGTGTGATTCCGTGCATATCTATGTGTGTCTTTGTGAATACATGTGTTGCATATGTTTCTTTGTGTGTCTATGTTGTCTGTGAACATGTGTGTCTATAAATATGTGTATCTGTGTGTGTATTCTCTGTATGTTTTTGTTTCTGTGCATCTATGTGCATTTCTTTGTGTCTAGGTGTGTGTGTACGTCTTTATCTTTATGTGTGTCCTTGTTTCTGTGTGTCTGTCATTGTTTTTCTGTATATGTATCTGTTTATGTGTGTCTGTGAATGTTTAAGTGCATATGTATATCTGAATATGTGTACATTTTATGTGTTTCGGTGTGAATATGTGTGTCTTTGTGTTTCTGTGTGCATATGTGTGTCTATTTCTGTACATGTATTTCTCTGGTTTTCTGTTTGTCTATGTGTGTGTCTGTTTTTTGTCTATGTATTGTATATATGTCTGTGTACTTCTTTGGGTCTGTGTCTATGTATGTGAATGTTTACATACGTGTTTATTGTGTCTGTGTGTATTTCTCTATGGGTTTCTGTGTGGCTATGAATGTGTCTTTGTGTATGTTTGTTCTGCATGTGTATTTCTGTGGGTCTGTTTGTGTGGGTCTTTGTGTGTTTCTCTGTGTCTGTCTTTGTGTGTGTCTGTGAATAGGGGTATCTATGTGTGTTTGTATGCTTTGTGTCTTTCTGTGTTTCTATGTGTCTGTGTATCTTATGTTCTTTGTGTTTCTCTGTGTGTATAGGTTTTTCTGTACATGTATTTGTTTCCTTTGTATATGTTTGTGGCTGTGTGAATGTGTGTCCTTTCTGTGTCTGTATGTTCTGTGTGTGTCTGTGTGATTCTGTGGGTCTGTGTATGTGTGAATATGTGTCTGTATGTATCCAAACACGTTTTCTTATCTCTCTGTATATGTGTACTTGTGTGTATGTCTGGGTATTTCTTAATGTATTCCATTGTGTGTCTGTGTGTATTCCTCTATGGGTTTCTGTGTGTCTAGGTATGGGTCGGTGTGTAAGTTTGTTCTGCATGTGTGTTTCTGTGGGTCTGTGTGTTTGCTATGTGTCAGTGTGTGTTTGTGTGTGACTGTTTCTCTGTGTTTTTGTGTGTATCTGTGTGAATGTTTCTCTTTTTCTGTGTGTCTGTGAATATGTGTAACTATGTGTCTGTGTATCTCTGTGTTTCTCTATGTGTCTCTGTATCTGTGTATCTTGGTTGTGTCTGTATTTCTCTGTCATGTTTTTCTCTATATATTTGTTTCTGTTTGCTATATGTATGTTTATGTGAATGTGTGTCTGTTTTGTGTTTCTCTGTGTTTTATGTGTGTCTGTGTAAATATGTGTGTACGTATGTTTTGTTGCATCTGTTTATGTGTCTGTATGTTTGTATGTATCTGTGTATGTGTGTTTTTGTGTCTATGTTTCTATGTGGTTTTCATTGCATATATGTGTGTGTCTGTGCAATTTCTTGGTATGTTTCTGTGTATATTTCTCTATAGGTTTCTGTGTGTGTATGTATATGGTTTATGTACTGCATGTGTGTTTCTGCCTGTATGTTTGCTATATGTCAATGTTTCTTTGTATATGTTTTCTATGTTTCTTTGTGTCTGTGTGAACATGTGTTTTTGTTTGTTTCCCTTTGTGTTTTTGCATGTCTGTGAATATTTATCTATGTGTGTCTGTGTCTCTATGTGTTTCTCTGTATGGTTTTGCGTTTCTGTGTGTTTCTGTGTATCTATGTATGTGTGTATTTTGATTATGTCTCTGTGTTTCTCTCTGTCTTTATTTTTCTATGTGTGTATTTGTTTCTGTTTCAGTGTGTCTGTAAACGCATCTGGGTTTTGTATTTGCATATTCTGTGTGTGTCTGTGTGAATATGTGTTTTGGGTTTTTTTTTAGGCAGTTGGGGTTAAATGACTTACCCAGGGTCACACAGAATATGTGTGTTTTTGTGTGAATGTGTGTCTGTATTTATCTGTGTATGTGTGTTTTTTGTGTCTATGTTTATATTTGTGTAATTTCTTGGTGAATTTCTGGGTTTCTGTGTGTCTATATATGTGTCTGTGTGAACTTCTATTCTATGTGTATATTTCTGTGAGTCTGTGTGTTTGTGTCTATATGTGTTTGCTGTGTATCTCTGTGTGTTTCTCTTTATCTGTTTCTGTGTCTCTGTTTCTCTGTTTTTATGTTTGTGTATATCTTTATTGTGTCTGTGTTTGTGTGTCTATGTTTTTCTGTCTGTGTATTCATCTACATTATGTGTCTGTGTGAATGTGTGTCTGTGTTTTTTGTGTTTGTCTACTTCTATGTGTATCTGTGTATATGTCTGTGTTTCTTGGTATGTTTCTATGTGTCTGTATTTCTCTGTGGGTTTCTGTGTGTCTCCATGTATGTTTGTTCTGCAAGTGTATTCCTGTGTATCTATGTGTGTTCCTGTATGTCTCTGTGTATAGGTGTCTATGTATCTGTGTATTTGAGTTTTGGGGGTCAGCATGCATTTTTCTATGGGTTTCTGTGTGTTTATGTATGTGTCTCTGTTTATGTTTTTGTTCTATGTGTATGTGTGTTTGTTATATGTCAATATGCATTTCTATATGTTCCTCTGTGTCTTTGTGTGTCTGTGAATGTGTATGTGTGTCTATAGCTCTGTGTGTCTATGTCTCTGTGTTTCTGTGTCTATGTATCTGTGTGCTATGTGTTTCTCTGTGTGTTTTATGTTTTTCTATATATGTATTTGTTTCTGTTTGTCTATGTGTGTATGTGTGATTCTGTGGGTCAGTGTGTCTGTGTGAATGTGTATCTGTATGTATGTGTGTATGTATGTTTTTTGCATCTGCGTTTCTATATGTCTATGTGTCTGTTTTTCTGGGTGTGTTTCTGTGTATATATGTATGTTCCTATTTTCCTGTTTGTGTCTATTTCTCTGTGTGCGTTTCTATGTATATATGTGTGTCTGTTTTTCTGTATACATATATATGTATATATATGTATATGTCTATGTGTTTCTGTCTGCATGTGTATTTCTGTTTCTATATGTATCTGTGTGTGTTGCTGTTTGTATCTGTGTGTTTCTGTGTATGCATGTGTGTGTCTCTGTGTGTGTCTCAGCAGAGAGGCTAAAAAGCCCGCTCTCTGGTGCTTGGCCCAGGACGGTACTGAGTCATGCTGGAAGGAGGGGATTCTCAGAATGACACCCAGGGCTCCTGTAAGCTGGGATCCTTCCTCGCTCTGAGAGGCTCAGTCTGAGGAGCGCATGCCAGGCTGCTGCTCCCTGCCCCTCCCCCCCCCACTTAAAGCATGAAGCCCCTTCACAGCATTCCCAGAGTCTGAGGCTCCAAGATCCCAAGCTGGAAGAGGCCCTGAAGGGTGGCTAGTCCAGGCCCCTCAAGGCCCAGGGCAGGGCAATGATTTGTCCAAGGTCACACAGAGGACCCTCGATGGCCAATGGGAAAGGCTCTCAGAGGTCATCTGGTCCAGGAGTTCTTGATCTTGGCTCTTTGAAGTCTTGTATTTGATGTGTTAATACGTCTATTTTAATAAAATTTCTTTACTTTGTAATCCTATTTTTCATTTTTAACATTTAAAAACATAATTCTGAGAAAAGGCCTTGTAGGCTTCACCAGCCTGATGGCCAGAGAGGTCTCTGACAACAAAGGTTAAGAAGCTCTAATCTAGTCCAGTCTTCTCATCCTACAGATGAGGAAGCTGAGGCCCAGGGATGTGAAGAGTCTTGTCTAAGGCCCCATAGCTAATAAAAGCTTGAGGTGGGATTTGAACTCAGGTCTTTATGACTCTCTGTCCATGCTTCTTCATAGCTACCAAGCCTGACAGGGCTGGAAGGGAGAGCCCCAAGCAGAGAAGGGGGAAGCTAGAAGCTTGAGCTAGTTTCCAAAGGGTACCTTGACAGAAAAAAAATGGTATAAGGAAATGTTGGCATGGCACCAAGCCAAGCTCTTGGCTCCCAGTCAGGTCGAGAGCACGAACAGAGACTGGACTGTCTTCCTTGGAGGCCAAGCACATGACCGTAGCTGATCCAGGGCCTAAGGGTGATGGGCCCTTCTTGCTACCAGTTTGAGAAAGGCCTGCAATGCTCCTCCCTCCCCTCACTGGCCACATCTCTCTGACAGAGTGGGGAGAGCTACCGAGCTGATGTGGTGGACCTGTTCCCAGGGACCTTTGAGGCCGTGGAGGTGGTGGCCAGCAACCCCGGAACATGGCTAATGCACTGCCACGTGGCTGACCACATCCATGCTGGCATGGAGACACTCTTCACTGTCCTAGCCCGAGGAGGTAAAATTGAAGGGAGGGGCAAGGAAGGGGTAGGTCTCAAAGGACCCCAAGGTTTAGAACCCAGAATATCAGGACTGGGAGGGAGTCTTAGGACACAGAATCTTAGAGCTGGGAGAGGCCTTAGAACAGGGAATATCAGAGCTGGGAGGGGCCTTAGATCAGGGAATGTCAGAGTTGGGAGGGGCCTTAGAACCCAGAATGGCAGAGCTTGGAGGAGACTTAGAACAGGGAAGGTCAGAGCTGGGAGGGGCCTTAGAACCCAGAATGGCAGAGCTTGGAGGGGACTTAGAATATGGAATGTCAGAGCCGGGAGGGGTCTTAAAACATAGTATGTCAGCTCTAGAATGGACCTTAGAACATAAAATGTTAAAGTTGGAAGAGGCCTTAGAACAGGGAATGTCAGAGCTAGGAGGGGCCTTAGAACCCAGAATGTCAGTGCTAAGGGGACACCTTAGAACCTAGAACATTAGCTCTGAGAGAGAACTTAGAAGGAAGAATGTAAAAACTGGGGTGGGGGGAGGGCTCTTAGAACATAGACTGTCAGACCTGGGAGGGGTCCTGGAATGCTAGCCTCCTCATAAAACAGGGGGAACCTGAGGCCTGGAGTAGGGACTGGGCTTGCCCAAGATCACACAGCATTTTTGTTAGTGGCAGAACTAGGTCCCCTGATTCCCAGTCCAATGCCATCCCCGCTATTAGTTACTGCCACTTGCCTCTTGGTACCATGGGAATATCCCACCATTCCTGTCCCTGAGTGCCTCACCCCTGTACACACACAGCCTAAGCACCTGGAGAGACAAGGTGTTGAGTTCAGGGGGCCTAAGCTTCTCTCTCCTTTTTGCAGAGCTCATGATCACTGCCAGCAATGAGAAAGCAGGATCAGGTATGGAGGGTGCCATGCAAGCAGGGACTGCCCAAGGGGGAGAGAAAGTGGCTGGGGCCCTGACCAGGGTGTGTGTGTGTGTGTGTGTGTGTGTATGTGGACAACCCAGGGGCTGGCACAGGCTGGCTCCTAATGAGGAAGGTGCCAGATGGCCACCAGAGGCCAACTATTGGCTATTTAGATTTCCTCATGCTCCTCTGTATCTGCATGGGCCCAAACCCCAGCGTTAGGCATGCAAGAGATCTTAGAGAGGATTGAGTCCAATTTTTCAGAGGAGGAAACTGAGGTTTAGATAGGGAGTAGCATAGAACTGACCTGAATCATTTGGGGGCCCAGTGCCCAGCACACAGTAGGTACTTAGTAAATACTTTTGGAGGGATGGATGGGTGGATGGATAGATGGATGCATCAGTCTCATGTGAGAAGATCATAAATGTGGAGCTAAAAGGCCTTTGAGTTCAACCCCCTCATTTTACAGATGAGGAAACAAAGTAAATGACTTACTCAGGATCACACAGCTAGAAAGTGAACTCAGGTCTTCCTGATTCCTGGTGCTCTTTCTCATTCTGGATCTGCTGCTCACTAGCTGTAACCCTCTCTAGGCTTTTATATCTATTTTCTTGGTTGATCCTTACCACAAATGGAAGAAGGAGGTGAGGCAGGTAGTGTCATCTCCCTTTCACAGAAGAAGAAATAGTCTCAGAAGTTGAGTGACTTGCCCAGGGTCATACAGCTAGTCATTACTCAAACCCAGGTCCATTGGCTTCTAGCCCAACAGGTATCCTACTGCCCTATGCCTAAGCTCCCCATTAGCAGCCACCTACCCCACCCCATTGGGTTACTCTTTTCAATCTCCTGCCATTCCAGTCACAGCCTCTGAAGATATGGAGGCCAGAGTCCGGATCCTGGGGATCAAGGTCCCTACGAAGCACGTGCAGACATTAGCCGTGGTCCTCATCGTTCTGGGGCTCATCCTTCTCATCGTCGTGGTGGCCTTGGCTGGGGTCCTGTGCTACCAGCAGCGGCAGAGGAAGCGGAGGCGCAACAGGAGGTCCATCCTGGATGACAGCTTCAAGCTCTTGGCCATGAAGCAATAAGACCCGCGCCCAGGGGCCCACATCTTAGTGAGAACCCATTGGATGGCTTTGAAAGCTGGGACCGGGTGGGGTGGGACATTCTTTCAGTAAGATGCTTTCCATGGCACTAACCCACATGAATCTTCTGCTCTAGAGTGGGTTACCAACAACAGCAACAGCAACAGCCTCGAACCTCCCAGCAGCCTCTGGTACCCCTCCAAAAGCAGTCAGATGTGTCCAGCTATGAAAGTGGACCCTGGCTCATCCTCCTGAAGCCTGACCCTTCTTTCACGCCAGAGCGTGGTGTAGTGCCTAGACAAAGGGAGAACAGGCCAATCGCAGGCCCTGAGGCCCAGCCAGCTGGAGGGAGATGCCACATCTGGGCCATAAGGACCAAGAAGGGGGCCAGGTTTGGGGCTGAGGAAGGCAGGGTCTGCCTTGGACCTTGATTCTTCTTGGGACTGATTGCTTTAGAAGGGCTGGCTGGGGGAGGTTGGTAGGCAGAAGAATGCCAGCTCCGGAAGGTAGGCCTCTCGATGGGCAGAGGTCCATGCTCAGAGGGAGGGCCTGGCATGCTGTGTCCCAATGTGATTCCTAGCAAACGCTATACATTAAAGAGCTGATGAAACCTGGGAGCACCGGACTAAAGTAAAGGGTGGGGGCTGCACAAACACAATCCTACTGCTCTTGGAGTCCAACACCCCACCACCCTTCGTGGTGGTCAGTGGGCATCCGGTCCATCCCCCTACCCTTGGGAGGACCTGACCCTTCTCTGGCCAGACATTAAGAAGTCTCTCTTGCTCTCTTGGCACCTTGTTCTGTCTGGGGTTGGGGAAAGTCCACCAACGGAGAGATGGAGCTGTCAAGCAGGAAAGAGAACACTGGCTGCTCTGGGTGTGTTTGGCAAGGGGGAGGGAGCTCCAGCAGGGAATATCCTAGCCCAGGGGTAGGGAACCTACAGCCTTGAGACCACATGTGGCCCTTTAGGTCCTTGGGTGTGGCCTTTTAACTGAATCAAGTTTTACAGTATAAATCCTTTTATTAAGGAGATTTGTTCTATGAAGTTTGGATTAAGTCAAAGGCCCACACTTGAGGACCTAGAGGGCCAGGATTTGTTCTGTGAAGTTTGGATTCAGTTAGAGGGCCACACTTGAGGACCTAGAGGGCCACATGTGGCCTTGAGGCCACAGGTCCCCCACCTCTGTCCTAGAGCGATCCCCAGACTTGAGAGGGGGCAAGGAGGGCAGCAGGGTGGTGTGGTAGAGAGGGTGCAGGATTTGGGGTAAGAAGGCCTGGGTTCAGCTCTCACCATAGATACCTCCTGGCTGGGTGACCCTGGGCAAGTCACCATCTCCTCTGACTTCCTATAAAACGAGGAAGCTGGAATTCCTGGCCACTAAGAAGCCTTTCAGTTCCAAGTCTCAGAGCCCTGATCCTCTGAAAGGTTTCATCCAGAAGTGGATCTAGTTCTGGGTGCCAAGAGATGATGGCAGAAAGAGGGAGAGGCCAGGCTTAGGTTCGCCCAGGGCAAGAGGAGATGGGTTTTTTAGGACATCCCTGACTATTGAAGGCCTATGCCTGGTGGAGCCACTGGTGTGGTAGGAGGGTCACCTTCATTCTTGGGGTCCCTAGACAATGGGCTCCCTCCCTCCATCCTGCATTTGTAACTAGGATATTTTTTCTTTGGTAAGTTGGGAGCTCAATGAAGCTTGCTGGTGCTCCAGGTGGACTCTGCCTTGTGGCACTGAACGTGGCATCGACAGCCCAAGAGGGCATTGAGGAAAATGCCAGCCATGGCCTCCTCCAAAGCCCTGCCCCTCTTTCCCCATTTCTCCCTCCTTCTCCCCAACTGCACACAATAACCTCTCTAGGTTTCCCATATTGCACTTGATCACTGCCCTTGGGTTCGAATCCTAGCCTGAGCAAGTTATTATACTTCTCCAGGCCTCACTTTCCTCCTCCATAAAATGGAGCTAACATCACTTGTACTCCCAATTTCCCAGGACCATAGATAGTGCTAGAGAAATGTAAGCTAGCATTCTTGCCCGAGCAAGAGAATGGTGGCCCAGTTACTGACCAGCCTTTATGGGAGCATAAAACCCACAGGGCTTGAGCTGTCTTTGGTGCTGAAAGTTGAGTTCCTGGTACCTAGAGGCTAACCAACTTAATTTTACAGATGAGAAAATTGAGGCAGGAGAAGTGCAGTAGTTTGCTCAGGGTCACACAGGTAGCAGAGCTTGTATGCTGGCCTAGGTTTTATGACTTCAAATCCCATGCTCTTCCCATTTGCAGGAACCCCCATGACTCCAGTCTTTCAAATAGATAACCCAAGAAGCTAGGCCCATCTCAGTAGATTTCTAGGAGAATGGCTAGAAATGCTGAAAACCTCAGGTTGTTAATAATCCCTCGAAATGCCTAGGAGCCTTTAAAGTATTACCAAACTAGTGCATTTCATGGCAAGAGAGTCTTTTGACCTCGTGGTTAATTTGTAGGGTAATGAAAACCCAGTGCACTCTGGGGACTTGAGGCAATTACACTCTTGTATGCAAGTGGAACTTGCATCAGCATGTGCACTCCACTCAGTCAAATGGTGTCCATGCCTGCCCATCCTGTGTGGGCTCTCCTGAAGCTGCTACCCACTGGGTCAGAGGTGCAGTCAATTGGCATTTGCATGGGAACATGGATCCTTAGTGGAGACAAAACTGAAGGAAGAGATAGGTCTGTCCTGGCCTTCAGGTCCAGTGCCTGGTGAGGGGGCTAAAGTGTAAAGCCTGGCCACTCTTAAAAGGGGAGAGAATGAGCATTTATTAAGCACCTACTATGTACTGGGCACTGTGCCAACTGCTTTACAAACATTATCCCCCATTTTATTCTCACAACAACCCTGGGAGGTAAATACTATTAGGATCCCCATTTGACAGTTGTGAAAACTGAGGCAGACAGAGGTGGTGTGACTTGCTCAGAGTCATAACAGCTAGTAAGCGCCTGAGGCCAAGTTTGAATTCAGGTCTTCCTGACTTCAGGCCCAGGGCTCTCTCCACTTCACCACCTAGCTACCATACATTAGTGGGGTGGTATCCTAAATAAATGGGGGTCCGAAGGTAAGCAAGATAGCACCCCAAGTGCAGTAAGAGAAACAAAGAGGTACTCTCAAATCTTTTAGAAATGTGTTGCTTGTTTGTTTTAAAATTAAAGCTGATAATTTGGTAATTGGTACCCAGATTCATGGGAAAGATAATTTAACAGCGGTTCCATTAGTTTTACTCTGGTTTGTTTCTCTCCAGACTCACTAGAAACTGGCACCATAGAATGTCAGAACTAGAATGGTCCTTAGAACATGGAATTTCAGAGCTGTGAGGGATCTTAGAACATAGGCTAGATTTCTGGTCTCATCATGCCTTTCTCTTGACCCAATCACTTATCCTCTGCTTCTCTTTCTGTAACCTATAACCTCTTTCTCCAGTCTGCATCAACCATGTACGGGAGTGTCATAACCTATACCACCAACCACCCTCAGCTCATTTGAATTTACTCCAGGTTCTGTAATTCCGGAGGGACTGCAGGGCACGGTGGATAAAGAGCTGGCTACAAAACTGGGACTTTGTTCTAGTCCTGCCTTTGACACATGCTAGCTGCGTGACCCTGGACAAGTCACTTCACCTTGAGGTGCCTCAGGCAATTCTCTAGGTTACAAAGAAGGTGCTGACTTGAATTAGTAGAGGAAGTTACCTCACCTGGGAGTACCCTACATCAAAGAAATCACCAGACCAGGCTGTGTCTCTCTCTGGAATTTCTCAGTTGACATCTGTGTCTAAGCATCTATCTCACCTTTGGCTTGGCAATGTCAGCCAGCAACTGTCATTTCTATTGTTTTTTTTTTTTAGCCACAAAGCCCCCTATAGCTGTAAAGCCCACTTGATCTTCACCACCCTATGAGCAAGGTGGCACCAGTATTATCTATGTCTAGGTCTGTGTGATCCTGGGCAAGTCATTTTCCCTTTCTGAGCCTCAGTTTCCTCATCTTGAAAATTGTTGTCCAGCATGATCGATGAGAGAATTAAGCCTTCAGACCCTGTGCAAAGTGAGCTATCACAGACTCAGAGCTGGAAGGGACCAGAATGGCCAAGTCCAGTCCCCTCATTTTCAGAGGAGGAAGCAGGGGAAGTACTTTGCCCAGCTAGGAAGTGTCTGAGAAGAGACTTAAACCCGTGGCTTCCAACACCCTACCCACTATAGCACACTGCATCTCTCAGCATCTTTTCCCTATTCTTTGCATCCCTCTGGGATGTTTTCCTACTCACTCCCCCATCATGCTCAAAATACATAACCCCTTCCAACTAATGTCTGATTCTCTCAGCCTGTCTCTTGTATGAGCTAAACAGTAGTCAGCTATATTAACAACAAAGGGCATGGTCCACAAGATGTGTTAGCTGGGCAAGTCCTAGGGTTCTTTATTGGGCATAATGGGAGTATATGAGCCGCTGCTAATGAGGCAATTTTAGAAGGAGCTTTGCTGAGATCCAGCTTCGAAGTCATGGGAACATGATTAGTGGCAGCCACAAACAACTTAATTAGTGTGGGTTGCTGTTCAAAAAAAAAAATGAGCTATGGACTTTCATGCTCACAGAGTGGTGAATTTAAAAGAACCTTAAAACATGGAACACAATATAAAGAGAGCTTTGAATGTAGAAAGTAAGAGCTGGAGAGCGGATTTTGGAATGTAGAATGGCAGAGTTGGAAGGTGTCTCAGAAGACAAAAATGTTGGAGCTGGGAGGTATCTGAGAACTCAGGTTTAGAGCTGGCAGAATCCTTAGGTATAAGCCAATCCAATCCACTCATGTTACACAAGGGGAAATTGAGGCCCAGAGAAGGGACTTTCTCAGGGTCACACAGTGAGTTAATGGAAGAACTAAGAAACAAATGCAAGTTTCCCAACTGCCTCTGCTGCACTGTACTGTATGGTGCCACCTTCTCTTAGGTCCATTTCAGCCTCATCTTTGTGACTTTGACTAGGAAGCAGGGGATGGAGAAGCTTGTTACACTTGGAACCAGCTGACTTTAGAAAAACCAAAGCCCACTCTTGTTGTGAGATAGCCCTTGCTGCCAGCCATACCCAGGTTAGTTTGTCTGGCCTGCTAGGCCCAGGAACTGCGATCCATACAGGATCCAAAGGCGTAACTTTGGTAGTCCCTATAATCCCTCTTCCCAACTGGTCTGTTTGTCACTGTTTTCTAATGCTCACTTCCCCCCTCCAGACTGGGCAACAGAATGGACCTGTGGGGTCAACCAGAGCAGAGAATATCAGCAATGCCTGGATAAGCCATGTGTTAGGTCTAACCACTGACTCGTAGGGACCAGAATATGGACATTTGTGATCTCAGAATGGCAGGGCTAGGGGACCTGTAGAAACTAGAATGTCAGAGCCAGAGAGGTCTTAGATCAGAGAATGTCAGAGCTGGAGAGGCCCTTAGAGCAGAGAATGACAGAACTGGAAAGGCCTTAGAACAGAGAATGTAGGACCTACAAAGGATGTTTGAGACCATTTTGTTCTAGGGCCCTGTGTGCCCATGGGCCTATGTGACAGGTATACATGTACACACTGGTGCATATGTGTATGAGGTTGGGCTAGTAA